TCACAGAATCGTAAGTTGTCCGTATTAAATAACAAATAACTTTTTGGCTAACGGGTCCGAAACTAAAATCTCGACGCGGAGGGGGGCTGCCACCGCACGAACTCTGCGCCCGCAGCTTACGACTTCTTCCTGCACGGGGACAAGACGGGAGATATGATTAGTATTTGTAGATTTAGTCAGCGGAACCACTCGGCTCTGTCCGAGCGAGACATGGGGTCGGTTCGGTGAGAGCTCACTGGTCGTGGTTGTCGGTGTCCGAGTCGTCGAGGTCGGGCTTGGTGCGGCGCTTCTCGTAGACGAGGATGATGGCGCAGAGCACGAACACCTCCGCGCAGATGCCGAGGAAGGGCCAGAGCGCGGCGTACATGTCCTTGACGCGCAGCGTGGTGGCCGCCTCGTTGGGCGCGGGCGAGCCGGGCCGCGGCGCGGTGCAGCTGAAGAGGCCGGCGTCGGAGCGCTGCGTCGCCTCCAGCAGCAGCTCGCCGTCCTCGGCGCCCTGCTCGCTGCGGCGCAGCGTCACGCGCTCGCCCAGCGCCAGGCGCACGTCCGTGCTGTTCTCCACCGCCGTCGAGTTGAAGCGCCACACGACGCGCGGGTACGGCTTGCCGATCACCTGCGCACGCGCCGGCCGTGAGCGCGGCGGGCGGCGCCCGAGGGCCACGCCGCCCGCCGCGCACCCACCTTGCACTGCAGCTTGAGCTTCTGCCCCTCCACCACGTTGGCGTTGGCGGGCAGCTTCACGAAGCTGCGCCCGCTGACCAGCCAGCGCTGCGCGCCCGCCCCCTCCGCCCCCTCGGCGCCCCGCAGCGCGCACGTGTAGTTGCCGAAGTCGTCCTCGACGGTGCGCGCCACCGAAAACTCGGCGCCGCCGCGCTCCAGCTTGTAGCGGCCCTGCAGGTCCGCCACCTCCTCCACATTCGTCTCGTTCTTAGTCCTGGCGAGTGCATAATATTATACGCACACATAGCATGCGTCACACCCGAATGCTACGCACTCTCCATTCCAGTACGGAAATTTAAGGTTATAAATAAAACTTGCAATTTACTTATAGGCAGGCTTACAAAAGACGTGGTACGGGCGAAACTCGAGTGACTACTCCTCGTGATAACAGGTTTACCGTGATAAATTCTCTACGAAATCGTTTTTTAACTTCAATCGAATAACGTTAAGAGGATCGTGAATGGCTTGGGGTGACTTATCAATAAATAGACAAACAGAACTTAAGTTAGGGAAAACTTTATTCTAATGCGAGATAATGGTCCACCGCACGCCGATTAACAAGTTCAACCATATCCCAAAATGGTTGGGTTGCGCGCTTTTAATTGACTACCACGTAGCCCGGATCAGCAGCGGCACTCAAGATTGTTCAAATACCCTTATCATTAGTTCGTGGGAAGCCAATTTGAAGCAGTAACAAGGCCACGTGGATGTAAAACACGATTTTTGTTCTACTTATCGTTTTCAACTTAACCTATATGTGCGGGATAACTTAGTTTAATAGTGTTTGTATAAGTAATTTACTATTTAATTCATGTAACGTAAGTCGAAATAATTGCTTAAAACTTTGCTTAAAACTTGCTTAAACCTTGCTTATTTTAGATTGCCTATAAAAATGTCTGTATAATAAAATACTATAAGATTTTAATTGTATAACTGTTTTTATATGACTATTAACACATATGTTGTAAAATTAGTGCGATAAAATAATTAAGGAAAAAGTGTATTTTCATAGCGTCATCGTAATTGATAAAACAATTAATTTAATTATTTGTAATCTAGTCATAAGACCTCGATTCTTTAAGGTAACGCACCAAGAGGGTGCCAAAGAAAAAATGTAAGCTCTCTGATTGAAAAGCGCCCGTTCTGCGACATCGTGTGTGATTGAAGCCATCCAGCCGAAGTCCGCCGAAGCCACTCCGCCTAACGTCGAGGTATTAACTCCGTGAACAAATCCCGCCTTACACTGCGGCCTTGATACCTCTCCCCGCTCGCTGGGCGCTTCGCTGGGCCTCCCCTAGGGGTCTCACCCGGCTAAGTGGCCCGCGCTGAGGGGAGCAAGGTACATCGCTCGCCTGGGGATTGATCCCGCCCGCAACAACGGGCCGTGACGGAGCCGCGAACGATGGAGGGCATATCGCCCCCCCAAACCTCGCAGGAGAACGCGCACACCTGTTGCCATGGACCAACAGGACGTCGAGGAAGCTGAGCTCCCAAGACAGCTGTTGCGCCCACAGCCACAGCGCTACCAAGTAGCCGAAGATTATCTATCGACCAGCGAAGAAGAATACCGTAGGAGCGCCGCAAGCGTCTCAGAGGTGGCGGAAGTCAAGGCCGACGGTGGTGCGTCTAAGTACGTATCCACCCCGGCCAAGACGTACCACCCCAGGAAGACCCGCAGGCGACATACGCCGCCCGAAACCGACGCATCGTTATTGGAAAAACGTCAATGCGTCGAAGAGATGGACACCGCACCGCAAGACAACCAATATGAAAGCGAACACAGGAGCACCAACACTACGCGATACTCGCAACCGCCAAGATCGCCCTCGTACGATTCAGTACAAGCGCCATCCGAGCGCATGGAAACAGTACGAGAAAATACATCTTATGCAACCATTACAAAATCGCCTGTGCAACCAACACCGTCGACATCTGCTCAGACGGAGGAGCAAGCACCTGCAGCTCCCGAGGAAGATACCACAAAAAAGGGATATCCACCAATTATCGTCGAAAAAAACTGCCCGATTGGGCTCACCATTTTTTGGCGCTTAGAAACAAGCTCGGACACGCGCCGAACGCGCGTGCCTTCGGGAATGGCATCCGCTTTTTTACCCCAATCGGGGCACGAATACCGAGTTGTCCAGCGACACTTAATCGCAGCCACCAACGATGATAGTAGCATAACTTGGTACTGTTATGCTCCGGCCAGACACCTCCCCACAAAAGTGGGCATTCGCGGATTGCCTGAAACGACTCACCCCGGAGAGCATAACTAATGCGTTACGCTACCTAGGGTTTCCGGCGACCTACACTAAATTGATACCTCCAGTACGAAACCGAAGCCGATGCATATTTTTCGTGCAGCTCGACCGCCTCAGTGATAGAGAGGCAGCTCGACTGTATGATATCAACGAGCTCCTCAACATGCCGGGCGTCCAAATTGAGGGGTGGAAGGGAAGAACAGGCCCACCCCAGTGCCACAGGTGCCAGAAATTTGGACACTCATCGGCAAACTGCCACAGACCGGTTGTCTGCGTTCGCTGCGCGGACAACCACATTGCAGCCAATTGTCCAGTGCCGCTGACTACCCCCGCACGTTGTGCTAACTGCGGACAAAGGCATCCGGCCAACGATAGGCGTTGTCCCGCGTTTCTAAGAGAGGCAAGAAAACGCGGGATAGCAATCCATCCGCCGCGGCCGACTATAAGTAATGAGAGAACGGGATGGACGACCGTCGGAAGAAACAGAGAGAGCCGAAGCGGGGGGACAGCTCCCCCCACCTCAGACTTCCCCCCTCAGCCTAACGAAGGCGAGAGCACAGTAGCAACCGCACTACAAACCCCTACCGCGGTGCGAACCACTGCGGGGGACATATATAGACAGCCTACCGAGGGCGCGCGCCCGCATTCTACAGTCGTCGCCGGCGCCGCCTCCACTGCAGCCACCCTACCAAGACCGACTACAACAGTCACTACTCTCCAGCCACCAGCCAACCCTGCCACCAGTAGAATAAGAAGCCATCGTAGAAGACGCCGCGGACGTGATGCACCCGCGGCCTCATCACAGGACGATCAAGACGATCACCAAGCCACCAATACGGGGACGGAGACGACGTTACCTCACCGCCCCCCCCCCCCCCCCCCCCCAACAAAGAAGCCGTCAAACAAACGTCGAACAAAGGTCGGAGACAGCGCCTAGTCGTCGCCCTCTTCGCCTTCAAGAAAGCCGCCAACACAATGAAGCCCCTAGAACTGTGGAAGAATTCACAGAATCACTCCAGCAATTGATCCGCATACTGGCGGATGCACTTACAACTATCATAGCCGCAATGGCATCGGGGCAATCACCGATAAGCGCAACCCTACACACGCTGTCCATGCTACTCACCGAGCATCACGGCGCATAGCAAAACAGTAATTACCTTTAAACAGTGTTGCGCCATTTTTATGGCGACATAACAACACACACCATCTGGCCATTTTGGCCCAAAATACCGGGGGCACAGAGAGGCCCCAGAGAAGAAGCCCGGGTCATGAGAAAAATCTCGACACCCGCACCTGCCGGCCTTTCAAGGCCGAGTAGAAGACCCGTGTGTGTGTGCTCTCTGATTGGATACCAATACGACAACCAATCAGAGAGCAGGAATTAATTCCCACGGGATCGCATAAATATAGCGGCGTTTCGGGGCATCATCGCAGTCGACGAGCATCAAGATCTACCAGTGGAACAAGCAACTAGAAGAAGTCAGCAAGAAAGAAGCCCTGCAGCCTGGAAGAGGAGGAGCCTGCAGCCATTAGAAGAACGTTTTAGTGCATAAGAAAAAACTTGTACAAACGTCTGAAAATAAACAGTGTTCTTTCTGTCTTCACGACATTCTTGTTTCTTTACCAATCCAGCACACTGAAATGTGCATTGCGCACACTATACACATGATGATACTACATTTCAAATATAATGAACAAGTTTAGTTTTTTGTTCAGTTTACACTTTATATATTTTTATTTAAATCGGGATAAAAATATTTCTTATTCTTGTATTAATGGCCTTCTCGGTAAAATATTTGACACAAGTCGTTTGTGCTTTGATGCAGCTTATGTCTGTCAGTGTAGTTCTTGTAATAGCTATCATTGAAAGCCGAAAATGGTGCAGTCCATATTCTTATATTCCCGGTTCAAAAAAGAATCGTTTACAGCATCAACGATGTTTTCAATTTGCTTAACCATATCCTCTGTACTTACCTAAGATATGTATACGTTCGTATACATATTTTCGGCCAGTGATATCAATACATTTAGAAATCGGGTACTTATCATCAAACAGCCCTCGTATGCCACTGAAGTTTATAAAAGGAACAGATAAAAAAAAAGTTATTTAATAGCAGTCGAAAATTTAGTATTGGATCTTAACTGCTAAACTTAATTGCTAATAATAAAAAATAAGCATGCCAAATTTTAGAACGCCCTTTACTTGAAAGAAATTGTATAATATTAAATATTGGTAAAACATAGTATAATAAAGAAAAATAATATAATAAAGAAGAATTATAATATAGACGTGAAATTAAAACGTTGTCACTAAATCATAAAAACGATTGACGCCGATTGCGAAAATCTTTTGGCATCAACTGTTCAAATATTTAATCTAATAACGTTTCGTAAAGTAGTGCGCAAACAAGGGTAATTTTACTTTCCGTAAACGATAACATTCAAACCAGCAATAAGATAAACTATCCATTAACGTAATTGTCAACAACAACCTTTGTTAACATTTCCAATAAAAACAAACAAAAGACAACTACGGATCCAACTAATATTGATAAATTTCATCATACTGGAATGGAATAGGCAAAATATACTATAACCCCTATTACCACGCACGTGTTCGGAGCGGTGGTAATGGTGCCTACTGCTACTGCTCACTCACCACACATAGGGCAAATTCTTGTCGTTGGGCAGCGTGCAGCTCAGCGTTAAGTTGAGGCGCACGTCGTACAGCACCTCCTTGGGGTCCGCGTCATCTGCAACAGACTAGCGCGTGAGACATGGTGCATCGTCGGTACGTGAAAAACATGTAGTCGCTGAAACTTCTCTCGTACATGATCGCGGTGGAATCGGGCCGGTGGTGCCGCGCGGGCGGCAACTCGACGTAGTACTACATTCAGTTAACGAGTTACATCGGAAAACGAGTTAATATCGGTTGCAAGAAAAATGAGTAGCGGTTAATGGCTGTGGTTACGCCGGCGGCACCACCCGCGCGGACCCGGGCGGGACGAGTCGAGGCGAGAAGCGCTAGGTCTACGGGCGACGAGAACGGACGTGAGCGACGACGAGGGTCCGGTCCCGGCTAACTACTTCCGAACGACCGTGTGTAGGCGGTACGCTGAGTCTAACTACGGCGCCGTCGAGCGCGACAAGCGGGCAGCAAGAGAGCGCTAGCGCGGCGGTACCGGCGGTGGCGGCGGCCGGCGCGTCGGCCGGCCGCGGCAGCACGGCGACGCGCACGCCGCGGCGCGCGTCGGCGCTGCACGTGTAGAGGCCGGCGGGGCCGCGCGTGCGGCGCGCGCAGGCGGGCCACGAGCCGCCCGTCGGCCGCCGGCGCCTCGGCGGCGGGCCGCAGGTCGGCCGGCGGCGCGGCGCCGTCCAGCCGCCACTGCACGGCCTGCTCGGGCCGCAGCCGGCACTCCACCTCCAGCGGCGCGCCCTCCGCCACGCTCACCCGCGCCTCCTCCTCGCCCGCGTCTGCGCACGCCACGCTCCACACAACACCACAACCCCGGCCCGCACGCCACCTCGTCGTACCCGACCTCCTCTCGCAGATATTCATCTACTACATTCTTAGCCCCCCTACTTACATAGTATACTGCATGTTTTACATTCGGGTTAATCTGCATGATTTCATACCCAAAATATTATTTGGGCAAGACTACTACTCGACCCCATTACACACAAATCATAAATTTATTTCAGTAAAAAGAAATCATTTCCAAGGGTACATAATAAATATTTCAAACTTTTGTGAAAGGAATTTAATAAGTAAAAAAAATTACATAGTTATAACATGATATATCAATTATTAGAAAAAATAATTAAATAATAACATAGCAATGAATTGAACCTTTAAGGTTTTTTTAGTGTGTTATAAGATAACAATAAACAGAATTTTTATAGGAAATTTTTTAATATAATTGCATAAAAAATGGTTATACTACATAAAACTTTACAACTGATCCAAAACAACTTAGTTTAAGGCACATTATCTACTTTCATAGTAGTTTAATTACTTTAATGGATTACCCATTATAACTATATATAACAACTTATATAACCACAAATCATCTTGATTACAATTGTGTAGCATATAACCAATCGTCTTTTATTCATTTTATAGTAGTGCTTGAAAAAAAAGTATAATTTTGTTAGAATTATATGTGATATAACAATTATATCTGATTGTGTTGCATCACTATAAAGATGTGCAAATTCCCCAAAAATTACAACACATGGGGCAAGCACCATAAATGCTGGAAAACCTACTGGTGTTCTTTAATTTAAGAGCTGCAGTGGGATTCATACTAGGAATTATCCTTATTCTTAGATAAACTAAGCACTCCTAAAAAAACTGAAAATGTATGAAATAAACTTAAAATTATTATACAATTGGATAAAAAAAAAAACACATTTACAGAAAGGAAGTATTTACAAAAATAATAAATTGCCAAACAAAAACCTCTATGATAATTCTTATACTTAATATAAATAATGTCAACATTCATAATATATTTGATCAAGACATTCATACTCAAAATGAACAGAATTGCTATTGTTCTTTTACAAGAAAATTATATGAACCACAAAGAAAAGTGAGAAAAACACATTTTTACCACTATTATGACAATTTCCTTGGGCATAATTAGGACGACAAGCAATATCTAATAGGCGAGAGGAAGAAAATAATTATGTCCAATTAACCATTCTAATTGTCTCTATTCAGTAACAAAAATATCAATGATAATGTCGACACTGACGTCTATGACATCACCCTAATAACTAGGGCACCGCGCATCGACTCCCAAGGTAGGTCACTGCATGCGGGATTATCTTCAACATAACATTGTTTAAAATTATAAGATTTATTAAAAAATAAATTGAATGATACTTACTTTGAGCATATGATGGTGCGACACTGACTAAAAATAGATAAGCCATTGTCACTGGCAAACAAAACGATGCTCGTAGCATGGCTATGAGACCCCAGCAGCACAGTGTTTATCGAACTGAAAGAACAGTGATCGAAAAAATAAAAGTTCAAGACAATCAAAGACGATCGTGGCTGAATTAAAAATATTTTACTCCTTACATGAGATGTGCGCAAGATGGCGCACAAGGACTGAATGATGAGTATAATATGATTTGATCCAATACGAAAGAACGAAATGGAATGAATGAATTGAATGAAATTGAATTAAAATCGTAATCGAGTTACTTTCGACAACCAGTGTTACCAACTGGTCAAAAATAATACTCCTAAAGCCATTTGAAAACCCACCAAAATCAAACAAAAACTTCCTAAATTTAAAATCACGATTTTTTTATGTTATCATGGTAAAATAATTATCTGATAAAATTAACTATTTCATTAATTAAGAAAAATAATAGTGAAGAAAAGTTAATATAATATAATTCATTTTTATTTTAATTTAAAAATGAATATATTAACAATAAAATCAAAACAATACTTTAAAAAATTAACATATTAATCATTAGAATATATAAAATAATAATATTTATTGTAAACATATCCGACGACAATTTAAGTTTATATAATTTAATATATTTTAAGGACACGCAATCATCAGTTACAATATTTTGATATTTTGAGTAAGACGTAATACATTCAATATTATAGTTTGGAGCGAGAGAATTTAAAATATACATACAAGACTCATAGGCCTTGGCCTGACGTCCACCAAAGTAGCACAGGACTATTAAAGTATATTTTTTGTTTAAAGTAAGTAGTTTTTTGTAGTTTTTTAACAAAAGTAAATAAAATTTAACTCCTAAAAATATTCCTAAAGAAATTTACCTCCTAAAAAACTTCCATTGTACATTTTTTCTTCCTAAATTTCGGAAGAAAATCCCTAAGTTGGTATCCCTGACGACAATGGTGGTCTATGGTGCGTTGTAGAGATGTTCATGTGAAATATATATTGATATTTTTTTCCGATATGATATATCGAAAAGTTGTATCGAAATATTGCGATATATATTTTTAAAATATCAAATTTTTTTTTTATATCGTGTAGGTCATTACTATGAAAAAAAAAACGGTGGAAGAAAAAGACGAAAACGGTAGATAAATGAAAAGACGAATGAGACTAAAACAAACTTGAATAAAAAAAATGCTACTTAATTTTGTAATAGTACAATCTATTAAAATTACCTAATGCGGTGGAAGTCATTCAATTAAGAAAGCTGTGCAATCGAAAAGAGAATTAATAGAACTTTTGAAATATGGTGGAATTAACTTACAGAAATGAATGTCAAACACGGAAGAAGTTCTATCTAACGTAAGAAATGATCAAAAGGTACAACAATTGTACTAATATACCACCCTCGGGATGATAAATTCATTCTTAAATTAAATAGCGAAATGCTCATACAATCTTTACTATCTAAAAAAATCAAGAAATTTTGATTCTTTGGGATAGGTCGCTCCACTTTTAACCTCAATTAAAATATTTTTCCAATCTTTCTGGCTATCAAAATTAAAATGGAATGACGAATTACTAAATGAAATTAATGTAAAATGGATAAATTTAAGCAATGAACTTAAAGACATCAATAACTTCGAGATAAACAGGTGGTGAGGAACTTGCGAAGGCAGTAAATTAGAACTACACGGATGTGATGCGTCACAAACAAAACAAGTGGCTTAAGACGAAGGATAATATCAATATAGGAGACCTTGTTTACCAGCAGGAAAATGGGCCTTGGGAAGAGTAGTAAAAGCTAAGCTGCAGATGAACTAGTGCTATTATTGTTCGTTAACAATAACTGATTAATATTAATGGCACTAGCAAATCTTTATCCAGTCATATGGTGTTTTTGTGTTTTATTGGCAATGATAATAATTCATGTTAATAGGCAGGCTTTGCGCATTTACTGAGATTTTGTTGTAGAAGCGAATATACCACGCAATAGAGGAAACAGTGGAACTTCTCACAGTCGCTAGGACAAGATCCGCTTTCACCAAACTCACACAAGTAATACTTGTATTGTATTTTGAACTACAAATGTTCCTTAGCTGCTATTGGCATTTATTAAACAACTCATTTACACTTAAGTGTAAATTGATATTCATTGAAAAATACACCTCAAAGATTGGTCATTAAATTTTCATGTATGAATCACATACAATGTATGTGGCGTTCTTCTTTTTAAACTCTTACAAGTTTCAAGCGAGTACTGACACTCGACACTAGATATCACGAACGTAACATGCATCAAAAACGTTCTTATTTCTTGGAGATGAAGACAATAATTGCCTATCAGTACATCTCACAAAGTTTGTATTTATAGTTAGTTGTTAGGGTTGTGTTCATACTTAAATAAAATTTATCGATATTTTAGTTACAACCATGGTGAATTTAGAGATTCAATTTCAATACCTTTTTTTGCTCTGTATAAACATCGAATGTGGGTGGTGAAATAATGGATTAATTAAGGGAAAATTATAATAAACACAATAGTAGACTTCATTGTTAACTGAATTCAGTTTAATTGCAAGTCTTAGACTTCTTTAGTCTTTTTTGTTATTAGCGGATAATTTTCCACATAGTGTTATCAACAAATCATGCTTAATTGAGATGGCTTCCAATTGATTCAGCTAGTTGTGTTTATCCACTTTTTTTTTTACATAACTCCGAAAAACAGTTAAAATAAGTATCCTCAAGATGAACATTATTTTTTACAGTTTTTTACAGTAAAATTATAACAATAGTTATGATATGAATGAACTATTACATGTTTACTCAAAGCTATCATCAAAGTGTTATCGATATCAATACTATCCGTTAAGATAAATAATTAAATACATACTTATATATATTTATTAGACAACCGCAATATTTATTTGAAAATACAGAGCAACCATTTCCCATGGTGAACTATAGCACCGATTCCAAAAATTAAATTGTTAAATTTTGTTAGAGGTTAGGTAAATTAGGTTATATTTTCAACATTTGATTATAATTGATTTAGTATTCATTTAAACTTTTTAGTTTTAATAGTTTATTGGTCGGTTTTTTTTTGATAAAAAAACCTTTTTAGTTAACCAATGAACTGTTTCTGACATTGCATTATTTACCTCGACAAATGTAATGAATGATAATACTGTTATACAAGATATCGATATATTTTAAAAATTAATGAATCTCTGTGAAATTAATAATCGGCAAACAACACTATATCATGTTTATTCCCTACAAAGTAAGGTGAATCGGAAGAAATGAACCGAGAACAGAGCCCTGCGAAACACCCATTGATACCGTCGAACCAGAAGAACTTGCACTTGGCTGATTATCTCTTTAGTCTCTCCGCGGCCTCCTTCTGGGTGGGTAGTAATATGCTCGAAATGCGAGGAAAGCGCTTTACGCGCTCTCGCTGTCCACCACAGCACGAACCACGGCAGATAACGAAATGTATAGCATCATGATAGCGCTCAATGATGAATGTTGGTTTCATTATTATACTGTAGAATGAAAATGTCTGGCAAGGTGATACATCAGTTTTTATAAAATACCAACGATGTCATCATGATGGACTACCTTATGGCAAAATAATAAATTCAGTGTATTACTTCACCCTTTTACTGTAATTAACGTTAAAAAATTAAGAGAAGCCAAGGTTACTCAGAAATGAAGTGTTGTTTCATCTATATAATGCTAGCCTTGACACCTCTGTTGAATCCATGGTTAGTTTGTAGTTGTGGTTTCAATTCCTGTTTCCTTTCCTTCCAATTAGGCACATTCGGAATTTGTTTCTTGATTACATACCAGCTAACCCCATAAAGGAAGATTTCTTTAAACAAATAGTTATCAATACCACTAAGTCTTAATTGCAAATTTCTTTATAAAAATAAAAGTTTAAATGCAATTAGCAATATAAGAAAAATTAAACAAACAAACATGTAACATTTATTTATTGTTTATATTTATACACAGAGCTTCATAATTCCAGTTTAAATAGCATTGCACATTTTTCTCTCTAAAAATTTAATTTTTAAATAAATAAAATTGTATAAAATCTTAAATAAGAACAAAATGAATTACAAAAACCTGTTGTCAGGTTGAGGTAAATCAAACTCGAAAGTATGCAGTCATTATAATTACATAATAAATACTTTTCTAAAGACTACAAGATCCTAGTCATTTTTTGTGCATATTCAACATATAAAACGTAACAATTTCTTTGGGATTGACTATACTGGGCTATAAGATTTATCTTATAATTATGATACACACTTAATAAAAATTTCATTAAAGGAACAGTAACTACTTACAACATCAGCAAATCTACCTAGTGATAGAGATGTTCGATCCTACTCGATACTTAAGTGTATTGAGACAATACAATATAACCCACTCAATTACATGTATTGAAAAAAAAAACACAAAAAAATTTTTTTGCTATTATTTAGAGTTATTATGTCAAGAAAGTATCAAGGATTCACTTGCATCATCAATGGATGTTATCATCTTGAAAATAATGAGTTAATTTCAAAGATTGGCATAAAACACTTGGAAGATTTGGCAGATAATTTTTCTAAAGAAATTTGTTTAAAGAAATAAAAAAACATTTAACATATTGACTAAGTGTAATGCCTGCTAAAGCTTGCTTTAATTGAATAAAAAATATTTGAATTGATCCAAAAAAACATTTGCTTAGAGAGGAATATTAAAGAAAACAAAATATTAGAAATATTTCCTTTAAGCTTACCTGTAAGTGATGAACTAAGAGAGCTGCAATAAATTAAATCCAGATGTTGCGCAAGGTGGAATTAAACTTTTCATATGTTGGGTATCTAAGTGACCTTGTTTATTAGACAAAAAGCGAAATCAATCAACAAATTAGGCAAGTTTATTCCATCGAAATCGAAAAGGAAATCCTAAAAGACATAATAAAATTTATAATAATTAACTGGTGTCTCAACTTTCATAATATTGATCCAAACAATCATATCAAATGTATAGGGCCCATACAGTGTACTGCAATACATTGAAATCGAGAAAATATCAATACAATGGTCCCCGATCGAACATATCTATCTCCCTTTATCTTATTGAAGACATAATTAATGTCAAATTAGGTAAAAATGTTTCTATGACCTCTAAAATTGAGTCTTGACTCAATTTTAATAATGGAATGAATTAAATATAATATATAATAAAAAAAAAATAATCATAATCTACAGAGCTTTCATTTAGTTAATTTTTTAAGGAAATAGATTAATTCAACTATTTTGAATTTAATTTATGACCAAAGAATAATCATAAGATAAAAAAAAAAAAATCTACTAACTAATAAAAAAACTGTGTAGAAAATTTTGCTAAAAATAATTATACAATTCACTAATTATATGTATTACGAATGAGAACATTATTTATTATATATTTTACGGTGGTAGGGCCACGCAGCAGCCTCGGCTGTTGCATGAATGGGCAGGCTCGTCCGGGTAAGTACCACAACCTCACAGAAGACCGGCGTAAAGTGGAAGTATAATACTTTCGCGTTTCGTCTGGTGAGTGAGGTGGCCAGAGCCCAATTTTCAAAAGGTTGTCAACGCATCTGAAACCCTCGGGTGTAGCAGATGCCTATGGGCGGCGGTATTCACTTAACAGCAGGTGAACCGTCTGCTCGCTTGGCAACTTTTCACATAAAAAAAAACAAAAAAAACAGTTTTGCAGATCTTTGAAAAATTCAAATAAAAAAGGAGTAAAAGCATAAAGTACCCACTGTAAATTAACAGAAATTTCTGATACATCAGCACACGCACCGGCCGGGGCGGCGTCTCCCGGCGGCTAGGCCCAGATCTGCAAGGAGAAGGGGGTGAGTCGGGCGGGTGAGTCGGGCGGGTGAGCGGGCGGGTGAGCGGGTGGGCGGCGGCTCACCCTGAGCGTGGCGTCCCAGGAGGCGGTGGCGAGCGCCGTGCCGTCGGGCGCCAGCTGCACGCGCGTGACGCGGTGCTCGTGGCCGCAGAGCACGCAGAGGCGCGCGGCGCGCAGCGCGTCCCACGCGCAGGCCGTGTAGTCGCTGTAGGCGGCGAACAGCAGCCGCCCGCTCACCGACCACTCCACCGAGTTGACGCCGAAGATGACGCTGTCCTTGGTGTAGCGCGCCACCTCGCGGTCGGCGCGCAGGTCGAAGAGGCGGCAGCACGAGTCGTCGGAGCCGGTGGCGAGCGAGTCGCCGGCCGGGTGGAAGCGCACGCTGTTCACGTCCGACTCGTGCGCGTCGAAGGCCTGCACCGCGTGGCCGCTGCGCATGTCCCACACGAGCGCGGCGCGGTCGCAGCCGCCCGACACGAACGTGTCGCCCATCTCGGAGGCCGCCAGGTCCAGGCACATCACGTCCGCGCCGTGCGCCTGAAACCGCGTCCTTGGCCGTCGGCATCGGTCTCCGCGGGAGAGACCGGTGCCGCGCGCCGCCGCCGCACCTGGAAGCTCTGCAGCAGCTGGCCCGACTCCACGTCCCAGAGGGCGCAGGTGCCGTCGCCGCCGCCCGTCAGCAGCTGCCGGTCGGTGTTGGGGAAGAGGCAGCACGACATGTACGAGGTGTGCGTCGCCACGGTGCGCTTGCGCGCCGCCGGCTCCTCCTCCGCCCCCGCACCCGCGCCCGCCGCGCCCAACGGGAACACCGTCACCTTGTTGTCTAGCCCTCTGCAAAAGCGCATACGACGTAAAATCAACATGGGCACCAAATAAATAATATACCCTGCAAAATGATACATTTATGTTGTGAATTTCATCAAGACTGGTCCATCTCTGGCCCATCTCTGGTCATAACAAACAATCTGCCTTAATACTTAATTAGTTTTGCTTGAGCTCACCCTGCAGCTACCATGTTTCCAGAGGGAGCATATGCACAAGCCATCACCCATGTGCTGGGCATAGATATGGTGAGCTCCTTAGTGGCAGTGAATGCATCCCAGATTATAATCTTACCATCCTGAAAATAAAAAGTCAATTATCAATTGTTCTTCTGTCTAACCCTAATTTGAATTATTTATATGTAATTGTCACAAAGAGGTACAGTACCTCTGCACTGCTTTAGTTATAATGAAATGTAATAAAAATAGCTTTATATTGTATATTTACTTACAAATTTATATCAATTTATTTCAATTAATACATTGGTACAAAGCACATAAAATATGAGTGTTTTAATATTTCCTCAGGTGTGTTCCAGTTCCACACCATTACAATAATATATAAGGCACATAATAAAAATTCTTTGATTTTGATAGTTTTTACGAGTAGAAAACCAAATAACATCTACCTGTGAAGATGAAACAATGTGCCGCTTATCAGGTGACCAATCAGAGCATAGCACTTTTGATTGGTGACCTTTCAGAACACGTCTTAGCTTCAAGTTAGGAAAATGGATTGGCTCCAACCGCTCGGCAACACATGATACTAAAAAAAATAAGTTATTAAATAAATTTGTATGTCACATTTTTCCTTCACTACACAAAGAACACCAAATCTGATGTGCATAATAAGTAGATTTTCATCATGTATCAATGCAGTAGACTATAATACTATAAGTCGTAAATTTTTATTTTAATAAATTAGAGTTAAGTAATAAATTATTAATAATAATAATAAAACATAATAAAGCCAAGATAGCTCAGTGTCCAGGCGTTCGCCTTTAATTCAATTTACTCGATCAACAGGTGCACTTAAAATTAATAATTTCATTGGTGCCAGCACCAATTAATAAATTAATAATGAAATTATTAATTTTAAGTGCTGACTTATCAAGTGCTCTGGTCGGTGAAGGAAAACATCGTGAGGAAACCTAATATCCAAAATAATAATGGAAAAAAATATTTCCAAAATATTTGTCATAAGTCCACCAATCCGCAGTGGTATTGCGTGGTGGACTATACTCTGATACCCTTTTCACAGAGGCCCACTGCTGCCCACTTCTGGGCAAAGGCCTCCTCTGTAAAGTTGTGGCGTATGCTGAATGTCCATAGGTGGCGGTAATCACTTAATATCAGGTTAACCATCCGCTAGCTTGACAACTTTACGTATTACAAAAAATAAAGGACATTATTTTACCCTAAAATGTAAATAACCAGCAAATAAAAACTTACAGGTGACATCATTAAGCTTTTGCCTTTCTTCCTCCAGCTTTTGTTTCAAAGCTTCGGCTTCGCGGAGCAGCGACTCGAGGGTCTCCTCTGGTGTAGCTGCCACGGTATTGTCCGCCGCCATAACGTTAAGTTACTAAATTGTATCTCTAAGGCCACATTTTTTGCAACTACAATCTAATTCTGCTTAATATTAAATAAGTATAGATTATAGCACAATTTTAAGCCAAGAGGTGCCCACTATTCACCAATAATGACTCATTATGATTATTTTATATCAAGTAAGCCTCTATAAACCAACCAAAACCCCACTGAGGCTGAAATCAGAAATCTGAATCGATATTCGATAACAGTAACACCGACCCGACACCGACCGAAAAACACCGAAACTAAACAGATAAAGATAAACACATACGAACAAGCTAACAACAAACCACAGACTAGTTTTATATTATAGGTTTGGCCAAGGTCTCGCCTTCATAAAATATTTACGTATGCAGATGCGATCTAGATTAGATGTTATAAGATTATAATAAATAGATAACTAGTGTCCCCTCCCTTCTAATTTTAGTGCCTTTTTAGTATTCTTTCACTATTAAGATAACGAGATATGGCAACAGTCAATAACATCACAATCAGAATTCTTCGATTAATACCATCGACCTTTTTTTTACGTGGGAAAAATCCTTTTTGGATCTCATGTGAGAGTCCCAGTCAGAAACGGGTACCCACTAAAAAACTGTCGTATCAGCCGGGGACACGGGAACACGAAGATGCAATCTTCCGCGACCCTGGCACGACTATGGAAGTCATAAGCCTACTTCACGGGTGGTAGGCAACCCAGTCCGGCTAAATGGTGCTGTGCTAGTTACACCAGCACAGCACCCCGCATGAGCCCCATGTGCAGAAAATACGCCCTCATGCCTGCCACTCGGGATATCATTACCAGGGGGGAAGGTTGCGCGCGTAGGCCAGCCTCCTACACCATGGTCTCCGGCGGCGGATATCCGGGGTAGCCCTTTGTCTCTCCGCTGTCTTTTTCCGGGTGATTACGTCCTCAATTTTTAATGAATTTTTACGACTTTTTCATAATTCCACATCGAAAATAAATTTCAAAATAAACTTTATCATCGGTCAATGCTCGAAAATATTTGAATTATATATATATATATATATATATATATATATATAGTATAATTCCACGCGGACGAAGTCGCGGGCACAGCTAGACAGAATAATAAAAATTCTATTTTGTCCAACTGGCAATGTTTTACAATTTTGTCGTTGACATTTCGAAGTTTAAAAAGTTGTAGGTATGTAAGTTTAACACTATAACAGTCTATCTTTTTTACGTGAATTTTAAACATTTAATATTTCTTTGTATTCATTTGGAATACATAGTAATTTGCAATTGTAAATAAGATTATTATGAGTCCCCCACTTCATGTAGAAGTAGTCCAAAAGAAAGATAGTTGTATAAATAAAAATTGTATAAAGGAATTAGTGCATTCTTTTCTGGTGAATTTCACTAGTTTGACTCCAGGTGCAACAATAAGCAATTGTGATCTCGAGGAAAATGTGCAACTTTTTAAGCATGTGCAATGTATTACGTTTTGTGATGCAGAACATGATTCCGACGTAGTCACAAGTGAAACGGAGCTTGTGTATCATGTGTACACACTGGATTCCTTTGGCGTTGAAACGGACACTATGACCGATAATTCATCCGGTGAAGAGTTAGCCGTCGCAGATGTATGGGCTCTTCCGACTGAGGAGTTTCATGGGTTGTGGGAAAACCTAATATACGACTCAAAGTTAAAGGAAGATACATTACGGTTTGTTGAAACTGCTTTTGAATTTTCGGATCGCGGTGTTGATCCGAATATTGTAGGTTGGAATAGAGTCGTGTTACTACACGGGCCGCCTGGGACAGGTAAAACGAGTCTGTGCCGTGCACTGGCTCAGAAGTTGGCTGTGCGCCTATCTGACAGATTTCCTCGCGCACGTTTGTTGGAAATAAATGCCCACGGGCTCTTTTCGAAATGGTTCTCTGAAAGCGGTAAACTGGTAGCGAAGTTGTTTGAAAGAATTCGTGAAATAGTTGAAGATCGAAGACTTCTCGCGTGCATCCTCGTCGACGAGGTGGAATCTCTCGCGCACGCTCGTCGCGCGGCGCTCGCGGGTCTGGAGCCCTCAGACTCGATCCGCGCCGTCAACGCGATCCTGACGCAACTGGACCGGCTCAAGCGGCATCCGAACGCCCTCGTGCTGACCACGTCGAACGTGACCGGCGCGATCGACGTGGCGTTCGTGGACCGCGCGGACATCAAGCGGCGCGTGGGCCCGCCGTCGGAGCGCGCCGCCTATGAGATATTGCGCGGCTGCTGCGTGGAGCTGATGGCGCGCGGAGTGGTGGCGCCGCGCGAACAGCTGTTCCCGCTGCGCGTGCTGGAGGCGGCGCGGTTCGCGGAGAGCGAGGGCTCGCGCGCCAGCCTGCGCCTGCGCGAGGTGGCGCGCGCCGCGGCCGCCGGCGCGCTCTCGGCGCGCGCGCTGCGCCGCCTGCCTTTCCTGGCGCGCGCGCTGCACGCCGCGCGGGCGCCGCCGCTGCTGCGCTTCACGGACGCCCTGCACGCGGCGCTCGCGCAGCAGCTCAGCGACGCGCGCGATCTGTGCGACGACGGGCCGCCCGTACCAGCCGCCTGTGCCGCTCCAGATGGACCCTTCTGACACCTTTTCTCTTGCGTTCTAGCGCTGTACTAGTACATCATATTTTGTTGTCTACTCATGTTCCACATATAATTTTCAATTTTATTGTCTAAGTGTATAAATTAAATAAGATTAAACTATATAAATTCTTCTTTCTTTATTCAGTCCATTGTTCAGTGGAATGCATTACCTCTCGATCAGGATGGCCAAGAATCGCTATTCTTTTAAAAGGAAAGTTTGTGAGCGTATGCTTAAGCAATATTTTTTTAATTAAATATTTTTTGTGAATGTTTTATACTATATATTGTATTTATTCTTGTATCGATGTATATAGGCATATGTTTATATACATACATATATATATATATTTATGTATGTTTATTTAGTTTTTGAACAATATTTTATCATTCCACACCAAATATCCAAAGTCAAAGTCAAAGTTGCTTTATTCAACATAGGCTTATTTTAAGCTCTTATTGAACGTCAAAAACTACCACCGGTTCACTAAACTAGACCTGCAAGAGAAGAACCGGCAAGAAACTCTGCGGTCATATATGTATATATATATATTTTTTAAGTATTTAAGTATACACACAAAATTATTTTAGTATAATTTAGCAGGAGCCAGGGGACTTGCAAGTGCAGAGCAAGAGTCATTTCCACACATCCTTGTCCTCAATGTATTCCATGACATTATAATAAGCCCTTTCCATTAAGGTGGCTTTTACAAAATGTTTGAAATTATTTACACTTAATTGTTTGTGGATGTCACCTATTCTATTATATAAGTTAATACATCTACCAAGAAACGATTTCCTGGTTTTAGCTAGCCTAAACCTCGGTATTTCATTAATTTTGGAAATTTACAATAATCTAAACATAAATTAAATATTTGGGCTAATAAACAAGCAATATCACAGATCATAAGATCTAATGCCTATATTGATACGCCCCATAGGTCTTCAGTTTTCTTTTTATTTAAATTTTTAAAAGTCTTAATAATATCATTCATACCTATGTGGCAAAACTTAAAATCAGGAATGGAAATATTAACATATTTATCCAGATATGTTGCTGCCTCTGTGAGACAGTTTTGCAAATGCCTAGTACTTTCAAAGGGTATATTTGTGAAAACATTTAGAAACTCATTTGCAACTTTATAATTTTCTTTTATAACTTTGCCATTTACATTTAATGTAAAATCCACTTCTTTTTATTATTTTTACACATTTAATTTATTTATCCAATTTACATTTTATCTGTGCACCTACCTCACTGCTCTCTACAACCCCCTAAGGATGACTGGTAGAGAATGCCATTGGCATTAAGTCCGCCTTTGTAGTGTGTGCATAAAGATTAAATAAATAAAAAATAAAGATACAAAATTTAATACAAATTCTTTTTATTTATTCTTCACACAACTTTTTATTACAAAGAGGCTATTATTACATAATGGAAATCATTATTAAACATCAGAAATGCCAAGTACCAGTGAGGTTATAGATCTTTGACTTTTAAACACTTGTTGTCTTCTTATAGACAACAATAAATTTGATTTAAATAACATTTTATACAAAGATTTACTTAAATGTAAATCGTACTGCATAGACTGATTAATATATATTACTTCTCTGTTCTGTTAACTTGTAACAGTTAACTAAGGTATTTTTTTTTGTATCCTGCTTCTTAGCCAACCCACAAGTATGATTCCTGTTCCTTTTCCAAATTTTGCAAGTACCACTTAAAATGAATAAAACTAATTCAGCAAAATGTCAAATGATTGCTAAGGAATAACATAATAAGTAATTCGTGTCAATTGATGCCATTCCACACAAGGTTGAAATGGAAAGAGCGAATCGGTCAGCGGCCGATGATCCAGAGCATGTTGAGGCCGGCGGGGCCGAGGTGCGTGCGGCCGAGCGCGGGCGGGCTGGAGCGCGCCGCGGCCGCCAGCAGCAGCAGCAGCGCGTGCAGCAGGTTGGCGCGGCCGCGCGGCACGCCGCACAGCTCGCCGCGCAGCGCCAGCGCCCACTGCGGCGGGCGCGCGCTCACGCGGCGCAGCGCCAGCGCGCCCGCCCCGCCCAGGAACTGCGAGCTGAACGGGCGCGGGTTGCCGCTCTGCAGCATCTGCCCGTCGAGGTAGGTGGCGAACAGATGCAGGATGATGTCGGCGTCGGTGGGCTGCGTGTCGTCCCAGTCGGCGCCGCCGGCGTTCCAGCGGTAGTTGCTGAGGCAGGGCGCGCGCGCCAGCTCGCGGATGCGGCGCACGGCGTAGCGCTGGTCGGCGAAGGGCTCCAGGTAGGGCAGCAGCGCGCGCAGGGCGGGCAGCGCCGGCAGCGCGGCCAGCTGGCGCAGCCGCTCGCCGCCCAGCTGCCCGAGCCGCGCCTCGCCGCCCGCCAGCCGCGCCAGCGCCGCGTCCACCGTTTCCATTTCGCGCACCAGCCGCTCCAGGATCGTTATGTGAATCCACTGTACAATAATTGAAGCAGCCCTGTACAGTTGCGCGTCTGCTGAACCGAATAAGCTTACGGACCAAAGACTTACGAGTCGTAAATTCAAATTCCATTGGGTAAGCTTTTGTGGATCGATGTCGAGCTGCCAGTAGACTTGCGGGGATCCTTGCGGTGATCCTTCTTCCAGTTTACTGCTTTCTGGTTTACACAAAGTTTAATTAATAATAATAAATAGGGGCTTGATGATTTCAAACAAGGAAGGAGAGAAGAGGCAGGAGAGTTACCACAGTCCTGTGCGGAGAGTTGGTAGGAGGGCTGGGTAGCGGCACGTTGGCAGGGACCACCCTCCAGCGCCGCAGCAGGCTCCGCAGACAGCTGTTCCTCATATTGCCTATGCATGCAATAAATGAGTACTTTATAATTGTCTGTTTTATTTGTAAGGTAATATATCAAGAAGCCTCTATTTTAAGAAGTTTGTGCAAATGCCCCACTTCGCAAATTTCAAGAAAAGCATCCTTATTATTAAATAGTCATTGAATATTATTCCTAATAAAAAAAAATATATTCAACAACTCAATAATGTATAACCAATTATTGCCTTCAGAGGCAACACTGGGGATTGTCTATTGTTGTGTCGTTTGAAAAATATGCAATAACTTAAATATGCATGCACCTGAATTATTTATAAATTTCAGAATATTTTTATTTAGAAAACTACTTAACTAATACTTTGTTAATTTAAATTTCAGAAAACACTACTTGTGCAAAACAAAACCATTGCAAAGAAATTCTATTCCTTAGTCTTTATTTTTACAATGATTAAAAATTTTCTTGCATTTCCCTAATTTTCAAAAGGTTGTCAATGCATCTGGAACCCTCGGGTCTAGCAGATGTCCATGGGCGGCCATATTCACTTAACATCAGTTGAACTATCTGCTCGCTTAGCAACTAAAAATAAATATCTTTTTGATTATTTGTAATGATCTCAACCCAATTGTTCTGATCATTCATAAGCATGAAGTAAGATAAGTACATACACATTAGCTATAAAATGAATAGTATCCAGGTTTAATGGAATAAACTATAAATTGTTAATATTACTTCAAATAATCTGAGAGCGAGTGTTGGTCGGCGATGAAACGATCGCGCGAGAACACGTCGAGTGGCGGCGCGAAGGGCGCGCTAGGCGGCGAGGGGGGGCGCTGGGCCTGCGCGGAGGGGGCGGTGGGGGCGGAGGGGCTGGCGGGGGGCGAGGGCGAGGCGCGCGCGCCGCCCTCCGCCCCGCGCCAGCGCCGCGGCGATAGCGACAGCGACAGCTGCGCCTCGCTCGAGCCAGACTCCTCGGCCGCCGTGCGCACGCTCGCCTCTGACAGCACTAGCGACGAGTCTGCAAGTGCCATACCTCAGCAACATCATACATACCGTTTCCTGAATTTATTTTTATGTAAAAAGGTGCCAAGCAACCTGGCGGTGGTTCACCTGATGATAAGTGATAACCACCACCCCATTGACAGTTGCAACACCTGTAGGGTTGCAGATGCATTGCCATCTATTAAAAAGTGGGTCCAGCTACCTCGCTCACCAGAGGACATGCAGAAGTATAAAATTTTCACCATTTCCACTTCAAGACGGTCTTCTGTGGTTGTGGTTTTAAAAAAAAAATAAAAGACTACAAATACTCAAGCGAACTCCGCTTATATAGGAAGCCAACACCAAAGAAATTGTTAAGTGCAATATTAAGTGCTCTGATTTATCACATGCTTATCAAATAACTACATTTTTTTTAAAGTTCAAGTTAGTCAAGCTAACAGGTGGTTCACTTGATATTAAATGAATACTGATGATGAATATCACCCTTGGGCCCTTGTTACCTTATAGCAGCTGTTGCATGGCCCTAACATAGTAATAAAAAAAACTTACAAACATACCTCAAGTCTAGCAGTGGGAGATAATATATAATATAAAAATGTAAAATAATTATATGATATTTTTTTGTCTACTTACCTAGATCAGCATCAGTGAGTCCCAGTAGTCTTAGCTGTTGCCTAGAAAGTTGTGCAGGAGGTACAGATTGCTGTGGTATGAGGTTCACACCATGTCTTAGTGCACTAGCACAAGCCAAGCTCGCTAACATTAGCTCTATGTAACCAGCCCAGGATCCTGGACAAGGTCCTGTGCATGTCCTGTAAAATTAATAGGATAGGGTAAATGTAATATAAGTATCAGTAATTTAAAAGTAACAAATTGCATTTTATATTTTTATTTTAATTTATTAACTACCGTATCTTTTGTAAAAAAAATCATAAAATTAGAACAAGTAAGCCTTTTGAGTTTATATTATATATGAATTATTATGATACATTTTTTGATGATTTTTTTTAAAAGTAAAAAAAAATATTAAATAATTAGAGACAATCAGTAGACCAGTATTACTTACAAATCATATGTGAATAACAAAAAGAAAAATACATTAATAAAGAACCATTTCACTGATGTAGCTCTTTTCTTTTTAGCATAATTCAAGTCAATTGTTCGTTGCACTAAATTTGAATTCGGGCTAAGGGACCTAAAACAAAATTAAATTTTTAACGTAGGTATCATTACAAACTACCACGTCCTTAAAATTATTACTCACATATTTGCAAACTGAAATATTTTAAAATGCCACAATAAGTTTTCTTCTTCACTTTATAAAATTCATGTTGAAATGAAAATATTAAATTAGAACTTAGGATCAAAACATCATAAACAAGCACAAGTGCACGCCGCTGTAGCATAGATAAGACTAGCGATGTGCGACTCGAGTTATTTGACTCGAGTAACTCGAGTCAAACCTTAAACGAGTCAACTCGAGTTCAGTTTTAAGCAACTCGAATCAACTCGGTCGTCCGAACGCAAGCCGGACGTTATACGCGGCGGCCTCACGAGTTGTTCCGAGTTACACACGCGGCTCGCGCGCGCGGTTCGCTAGGCGTTGCAACTCGCATCAACTCGAGTTGAGTGAAATGTAAAGTTACGTTACACGCGCGTTATTTGATTTTATTAGTTGGCCGTTGGCGATCCGCGTGCGAACTGACATTTTTGATTTGTTAGTGATCAGTATTGTTTTGTTTGTAACGACGTCAAATAACAGAAGTGTCGGAAAAAACTAAATATTTTCTCTTTTATTTATCTGATACGTGTCTGAACTCTTGGATATTTATAAATGTGCATTTTTCAACTTATGTAATATTTTATTTATTCTAAACTATGTTTAGCCATAAAAATCACTTACGTTGTTTCATGTGTTTTTAGTCATTAAATATTTGAATTTTTAAAACATTTTCGCGGAATTGGAGGGTGAATAAAACAGATTAATCTAATATATAAAATTCTCGTGTCATGGTGTCTGTAATTGAACTCCTCGAAACGGCTCGACCGACTTTCGTGAAATTTTGTGTGCATATCGGCCAGGGTGGAGAATCGGACAACATCTATTTTTCATCCCCCTAAATGTTAAGTGTGATCCACCCCTAATTTTTTGTTTTTAATTTTTTATGATACAGCATACAAAATACATGTAACCCTAAATTTTCACTCTTCCCCTCAACGCAGACGTAGTCGCGGGCAGCAGCTAGTATTGATATAAAAAGTAACATTGACTCAGTCATGCCATTTTTACTTTGTTATTTAATAGCGTAATTGTTAAACGTATTAATAAACCCAAAAACTCCCAAAGCAAAGACTTGGAAATCATAAATATAACACAATAGAGACTTTCAAATCAAATATCTAAAGGCACTTCAACATTCATTAAAAATTAAATGAAATATTTGTTACAAATAATGGAATCAACAAAAAGGTTAATCTAAGAGAGATCTGTAATCATATTTTATCACTTTCTAGAAAAAAAACTTTTCTTAAAGTGTACATAAGTTATAAATGAAACAAATTTTACGGATTTATCGCTTTTATTTTTAATTTTAATTCCACAAGGGATCTGTGACAAACAACACCTGGCCGCTGAGCTTCAACATGTCAAGCAAGTTCTGCATGACAAGCTTCGAGCACCGCGCCTACGTCACAGTGACCGAGTGAAACCAGCCACAGTGGAGCGAGTACCTGCTGTTCTACCATACGTCAGAGGAGTCACCGACAAGATTGGCTATATCTTAAAGCAGGCTTCAATTAATACATTCTACAAGCCGCTGAAGAAGATTAGTCAGTTTTTACCATCTGTCAAGTGTAATATCCCTCTGCAAGATCCAGGAGTGTACAAACTTGACTGTGAATTTGGGCTCTCTTAGGACAAACAAAAAGAGCAATAAAAACCCGCGTGAAAGAACATATAGCTGACATAAAACACAATAGATTGAACAAGTCTGCAGTTTGTGAGCACATTTTAAATAGGCCCAACCACTACATCAGGTTTGACAAACCACAGATCCTTGCAAAACGAACACCGATTCCTCCCAAGGATGATTCGCGAGGCTATTGAAATTAAAAAACACCCTAATTTCAATAGAGAAGAAGGTTGGGTACTACCACCAGCTTGGGATCCTGTCATCAATAAAATTAAATCTAGGCCCAAACGAACCACTACTGCAAGACAAGATACAATTAGCTCCCTCTGCATAGATCGGACACAAAATTAATAATTCAAAAAAACTGACGGTAGCCCGGGTTAACTATGACAATCAGACGTCTAACACCTCAGTCTGTCCCGTGACCATGAACGCTGTAAAGGGTTCGAAACGTCGGGAATTAAAATTAAAAATAAACGCGATAAATCCGTAAAATTAGTTTCATTTATAATGTGTAATCGCGTAAATACAAGAAATTATTATGTACATAAGTTATCATAAAATTGGTGATAATCACAAGGAAAAATGGTTTTTAATTGCTGCAATGCTGTATTTGCAAGTGTTAAAATATTTCGTGATCTTCGTCGAAATGCAGCGAAATCATCTTTGAAATTAAATGGTTTTTATATTGAATTATTACGTCCATCACCTTGCCATTCTTCCACGCCAAGTGTACCTAGTTAATAATGTGATCAATTATCTTTAATCTTTCTTTCAACAACTTTAGGAATACCTGACGAGCTTAGGCACAGGTACTAAAACTATGGTCAACGTGTCACAGTTAGAAGTCAGCTAGGACAGTTGTCGATATCCACAGCTGCACATGAACCACAGTGCATAGGTACACCTGCATGCATCTGATCCAAAATTTACTCCTTCTTTTGAACAAGCATTTGTCGTCATTTTTGCAGCTCTTGTAGAGTGACAACATCATTACTGATGTCAACACCGCTTAATACTTCGTCCATCCTGACCTTAGGTTCTTTCCTGAACATCTATACAAGACGTGAAGATAGAAATTAATTAAGTGTCAGATACCGCTCCCAGTATTAAAAAAGCAATGTAAATACATACATTTTTATATTTTAAACAAAACAACAAATCCGCGTAATCATCTTAAAAACCGAGAGAAAAGCAAACTACAATCTCGATAAAAAGCGTAAATTTTACGCAAATAGTGAATTTACATATTCTAATTATTAAATATATTGTGTCATAAAGAAGCATTGAAACGGAGTTAAAAACACCGATCAGATTTGTATTTACCATTAAATACTTGTATTTGCCGGACCGCCACACAAAGACAATACGTTTTCTTGTAATGATTGCGAAAATTCGCGGTATTTGAAAAATTTGTCTAGCATAAAAACAAGTTTTGTTATCTCTTATCCTTTAAACGAGCAATTCTTGTGTATATATAACTCTAATCTAAATCGATCTAGCTAGGTTTAATTTTTAGAAAATGTCCTTTTATCCCTGTTTTCAGGGTTTGAAAAATATCATTCGAATATGACGGTAAATTTCGCGCAAAAAAATGTTATAATAGCTCGGTCGGTAATCGGGCGGCCCCAAAACAGACGGCCGTGGTTCGTATCACGATCACTTACACTTATTTTTTACTTTTTTTTCGATTCCAGATCATTGCTTTCTTTATTTTTAATTTTTTGTCGATTTGTTATTTCTTTCCCTTTTTTTTTTAAAGTTCTTTCTTTTGTGAAAAACATCACTTCATATTTTCTTATTATTACGTCGATAAGATCGAAAAATATTATGCATATTTCATTACTCAGTAATTTATATCTAAATGTAATTTCCAAAACACACGATTTACCAAAAAAAAAACACACCAAGCAAAGCTCGGTCCTCCGGGTACTTTTTTTAAAGTGAAATGTTTGAAACCAAAAAGCATTATATTTTTAAAACAATTATTTATCAATAAATGTCAAGAGGAATACGTTTTTTAAACAATTTTTTTGATATCTGTTGTTTCCTTATATATCTACATAAGCCTTTACCAGTGTTTAATTATTCAAATACCTAAAAGTATAAACAATTATTATGTATAACCTAACCACCTAATGATTTTAAGCCTATTTGTAGATTATATGACAAAAAGGAATGAATAAATGAGCATTCTGTTGCATAAGAGTAAAAATGAAAAGCCAAACAAAATATAGTTGCTAAAGGTGTTAGTGAATAATCGTGAATTTGAAAAAAACTATATTGTGCAGATTTATTTTATAAAACACCATTTAGTGTCATTTTTAATTTGATCATCATTCCTTTAAGGGCTTACGGCATTTTGAACATGAGCCCTTCCAAGGACATGGCCACTAGTCAACCCCTTCGGCTTCTTAAGCCAAGCATGAACATAATATTTATAATCAATCAAATATAAATATGACATACAAATACAATTACAAACAAACAATTAACTATTGGTCAATGTCCATTTAAATAAAATACATTGTAAACAGTTATGTCTAATACACAATAATAAAAATTAAAAATCTATCTATTTTCTATATCCTACCATGCCTGCTTACCAAAATGGTAAGGGGTGACTTGTAAAACATAACCATGACAAATTTTGTTAAGGTCGCGAACACAAATCTGGATTTAAACAATGTCACATTATTATCCTAACTCTTTTGGTATGCCAGTCACGTCATTGTCTAAACATAATTGAATTATGTCATAGAGCAACTTTACAGCATCTGATGTAGACTTTATCAAATAACTTTGGGTTTGTTACGGGCGCAATGGCATATAGATACTATAGTCTAGTTGTTCCCCGACATTGGAGATACTTTTTTGGTTTTAAAGAATACTGCAGTTATAATAAAAATATGTTAACTGATCAACTTAACCTGTGATATTTTATCAACTGCACACACATTCAACCAAGTTGTTGGGTAGGTAATGAGTTCATAGAGAAACAATTAAGTACCTAGGCCTTTTCAGGTGCCTTAGTACGGGGCATTCCTACTTTGAACTTTACACACCAAATTACAAGTCAATGGCCCAAATACTAGAATACCTTTGCTATCAACAAATTCAAAGGTAATATTTGAAGGTATGTAGACAATGGAAATTGGCTAATTGTTCTCCAATATCATCACAGTGCTCAAATTCTTTATAAATTGGGTATTTCCAAAAGTCTTATACAATATAAAACTATAGTTAGGGAACCTACAGTGCATAACATAATTATATTTGTCACAGGAAGACAAACTTATGACACCATATAACACTTAATAATAGTCAAAATAAATCAAAACAACTTTGATTATCAACAGTTAAAGTATAAATACATGGTTTTGCACTATAATAGTAGTATATTAATCAATTCTGAGCACCTTGTGTACCAGAATAGAGGTACATGGGACGGCCATATAGTAAGCTACAATAATATTGGTTTTAATAACTGTGTGCCATATTGTAATATACAGATCCATTATTAATGATATTTATGATATACTTCATCACAGTAGCTTTATTGCTTACGGTTCAGCCCGATTTTTATTATAAAGGTTTTTACTTACCTATCGAATTTATGAATGGGTATTTTAATATAAGTAATTCATTAAATAAAAATAAAGACGATATTACCTTCTTGTAGTAATATCCTTATAGCAAATCGGCAATTAAATGATTTTTTCATGTAATAATAAGTCACAAGTAGGCCTTTTTTATGAACGTATGAAAATGAGTGGTAAGAAGTAATGAATCGGACGGGAGCGGCGCTAGAGGCGCTAGAGGCGCTAGAGGCGGTAGAGGTGCAGGTCGACGCCCCAGCCGGTGGGCGCGGTCCAGGGCGGCAGCGCGCGCAGCAGCCGCCGGTGCTCGGGGTGCAGCGCCCTGGCGCCGGCCAGGCTGTGCCCGGCCAGCGACAGCTCCACCCACGAGGCGGGCTCGCGCGTCAGGTTGTGCCGGATGTGCAGCTCCAGCTCCCAGTCGGGGTCGGAGCGCGCACGGTGCAGCGCGAAGAAGTAGGTGAGGCGGCCGCGCCAGCGCGGGCCCGCCAGCGGCCTCTCGAGCAGCGAGCTCCACGAGACGACGGCGCCCTCGGCCGGCGCCAGCACCAGCACCAGGTGCCGCGGGCCGCGCAGCCGCAGCGACAGCGCCTGCGTGGTGGCGTCGAGGCGGCGCAGCGCCAGGCGGGCGTGCAGGCGCGGCAGCGGCGCCGCGGCGGCGGCCAGCCGGTGCCCGCGCGCCACCAGGCTGCGCACGGGCAGGTAGTAGGGCGCGCCGCAGTAGAGCCAGCGCGCGCACTCCTCTGGCGGGGTGGGCGTCGCGCCCTCCAGCGAGCGCGGCGTGTTGCCGTCGATCTCGGGGATCCAGAAGAAGTGGTCGGGCCGGCTGCCGTTGGCCGTGTGGTCGGTGCGGCGCGTGTGGAACAGCAGCACGCGCTGCGGCGTGTCGCGGGCGTAGGGCGGGCCTGCGGCGCCGGCCAGCAGCAGCGCGGCCGTGGCCAGCGCCAGCACGGCTGGCGGGCCCGCCAGCCGGCCCGGCCGCTGCGCCGCCGCCACCAGCGGCGTCATCCAGCCGAACGTCGCCAGCGTCAGCAGCGCCACCAACGACGCCATTATCACCTGCACGTCGCACACCAAGCACAATTGCAAAGTAAAAAACCTGTCTATGGTGTAAAACAAATTATGAACTATTACTGAATTTAAAAATAATCCCAGAATTGATCCGTAAAAAAATACTCATATCTGATAATAAAAATAAATTTATCAGTAATTACTGCTTTGTATAAAAAAATGATAACATCATGTGTAGTATGTCAAAACTTTATAATTGTGATTTACAATCTACACTAAAGCCCCAAACTTTAAGAATAAACTACAATGTCGTTAGCAGACAATAATTTTTCATTATGCTTTACAAAATTTATTGTATTTTGAAGTAAATTAAGTTAGTGGTTAGTAATTTTGTTGGTCTTTTGTTACCTAGGTGTGGGCCGGCACAATTTTAATGAATTATGTGATTTTAGAGCTTTATGGTTCAGACCTGATAGAGCAGACCTCATTTCATTCAAATTTCTGCTGCGGTAATAAATTTTTCGTACATTATAGAAATGTTGTCGTTTTAAAGTTTAGAATGTGTAAATAAATTCGTCCTAATCGCAGAGGTTACTACTAAAAATAATAATAAAATCATCCGATTTCATTGCGAATCGGGGACGGAGTATAAAAAATGCGACGTTTCGCTACTTTCGTCGGAGGGACGGCGAACGGACTCACGTCGGCGGGCACGGGCGGCGTGCCGATGCGGCCCATGATGGGCACCAGCATGGCGAGCGAGGCCAGCGCCAGGTAGGCGGTGTGCGCGGCGGGCAGCGCGGCGCCCAGCGCCCACAGCAGCGCGCGGCGCGGCGGCGAGGCGCGGCCCAGCGAGGCGGCCACGTCGGCCAGCGCCGCCAGCGCGCCCCAGCCCAGCGGCACGAAGCCCGAGCGCAGCCCGCGCCACGCGCACGCCGCCAGCGCCAGCGCGCAGCCGCCCCCGCCCACGCGTCGGCGTGCGCGCGCGCCGCCCACCAGCCGCGCACCGCCGCCGCGCGCCCGCCGCGCCGCGCCCACGCGCCGCCCGCGCCCGCCCAGCCGCCGCCCAGCGCGGCCGCGCCGTACAGCGGCGCCAGCAGCCAGGGCCGCGAGAAGAAGGCCAGCCGCGCGCCGGCGCAGTGCACGAGCGCGCCCAGCGCCGCGGCCGCGCCCAGCCCCGCCGCCAGCCCCCCGCCTGCGCGCCCGCCGCGGCGCCCACCACGAGCGCCCACTGGCCGCGCCGCAGGTGCAGCCGCGCGCGCGCCTCCGCGGCGCCGAGGTGCAGCCGCAGCGCGGTGAGCGCCAGCGCCGCGCCGGCCGCCAGCAGCGCGGCGCCGGGCCGCAGCGCCACCGCCGCCAGCCCCAGCACGTCGAAGTAGACGGGCGCGCCGGCCGAGCGCTCCGGGGCCGCCTCCAGCTGCGGGCTCGCCAGCAGCCCTGCGCGGGGAGCGGCGCGGTGGGCGGGGCCGGCGCGGGTCGGACCGCTCCGCCGCGGGGCGCGTACGTACCTCGCACCAGCGCAAGCACGTTGTCGCCGGTGCGCTGCAGCGCGCCCAGCGGCACCCGGTCGGCGGTGTCCAGGTGCGTGTGGTACACGTAGCCGTTACTGTTCCACGCCAAGTCGACGCCTGCGGCCGCACAAGGAGATATTATTATTTAGGTCCGAGCGTCCGCGGCGTGCACGTCCGGCGGCGAAGAGGCGGCGGTACCGACCCGAGAGGCCGCCGAAGTCGCGGAAGATGCGGAAGTCGGTGTCGGCCGGGATGAGGCCGCTCTGGAAGAGCTCCTGCGCCAGCGAGGAGGCGAAGGGGTGCGGCGCCGCGGCGGCGTACACCTCGAGCAGCCAGGGGTCGTGCGGGCCCGCCTGGAACAGCACCTCGCGCCCGCCGGCGCCGCACGCCTCCAGGTTGACGAAGGCGCGCACGTGCCGCGCCCAGCGGTGGCCCGCCACGAAGCCGTGCGACGCCTGCAGGATGTTCTCCTCGGCGCCGTTGAGCAGGCACACCACGTCGTGGCGCAGCGGCCGCGCCGCCGCCAGCAGCGCGCGCAGCGTCTCCAGCAGCACCGCGCACCCCGCCGCGTCGTCGCTGGCGCCTGCGCACGCGCCCGCCAGGCCCGGCTCAGTCTCAGCAACGTAAAGCCGGCCCCAGAGGGCCGCTCCGAGTGGCCTCATTGAGCCCACTCTGGAAGCATGCTGGAGGGTGCAGGGGACAGGTTGAGGGTGGTGACAGGCCACTCTCCCTATCCTCCGCGGCTCGGCGGGGCTGCACCGCTGATGCAGCGGTGGTGGAGCCGCGGGGGCAGACGATTGTCGGTATTGCGATGCGCCGTTCTCCCTACCCTCTGCGACCGAAACGTGGTGAGCGGCGGAGCCACAGACCAGGTCCGTCGCTGGAGGCTTGGACGCTGAGACACTGGCTCTTTTGGCTAAATGGCTCCGAGTAGGAAGCCGCGCTGAATGTTCCAGCGTGCCTTAATGGGAGGAGAGGGTAGTTGCTCCCCGGGAGGGGGTGCTGAGGCGGCCAGCGCTGGCAGGGCCGTGGAAGTGTGCGAAAGCGTTGAAAGTGACCCTGCCGATATGCGCCTAGGTGGAACATCGGTGCGAGTCCGACGTAACCCGCTCTTGCCGCCGCGAACAAACAAATCAAGTCTCACCGGGGCTGTCGGGCACCGTGTCGAAGTGGCAGTTGAGCAGCAGCGCGGTGCGCGCCCGCCGCCCGCCCACGCCGCTGGCGCGCGCCACCACGCTCTGCACGTCGCGGTACACGTTGTTCATGCCTGCACGGGACACGTTTCACACCTCATTACTAACAAATTTACGTACCTACCTATAATAGGTGCTTTACGAACCCGCTAATTGTAAGCTTAATTGGCCCCAATAAACACAATGCATTAGATACGAGCAGCACATTCGTGGGCTTCATTAACGCTAAAATCTCGTCGAGTGCTTTGTTATAAAGTAGTGCTAATAATGTCGATTTACACAAATATGCGAAGCAGTATTTTTTTTTCACTTGACTTTACTAAAAACATAGAAATTTCAATCTGGTGAGAAAGATTTCCGAAAAAAAAAAGAACGAGTAATTTTAACAACAAATTTCCCATCAAAGATTCTATTTATTACCCAAATGCCCACTTTAGTGATGGCAGTGAATGCCTTTTCAGAGAAAACTCGCGCAGTTTGAGGAGACATGGGGCGTGTCTGAGCTCACCGTCCATGAAGGTGAGCGGAAAGGCGCCGCTGGAAGTGTGCACGTCGATCTCGAGACGGTTGTGCGGGGAGGCCTCGGCGGCCAGCTGGCGCAGCGTCTCCACGACCCACTTGACCGCCACCACCTCGTTCTCGTAGCTGCCCGCCACCTGCGGCCAGACTTAGTAAAGCGGGGGCAGCACGGGGGGTGGAGGGGTGTTGTGAGGGGGGCGCACCCTGGGCCCGATGGCGGTGAGGTTGGCGAGGTGGCGGTGGGCGCGGAAGGCGTCGAACTCGTGCGGCGGGCCGCGGCGCGGCGGCGGCAGCCGGCGCTCGGCGTGCGCGCCCAGCAACGCCACTAGCGCCGTCCCCAAAGCCGCGCACAGCGCCCAGCGCAGCGGCAGCCCGCCGCGCCGCGCCTTGTCGTCCTCCGCCACTTGCTGCGCAACCACAACTCGTTTCATATCATACTCTATTGGACGAATAAATTATCTTATTCGGCATATCGACTTTTCAATTCGTGACCTAACATAGTATTGAGTGTAAATGCAATGCCTTAAGAATCCACAGCTGAATATATTCTTTTAGAGGAAAAAACTAATAACCAGCTGTACTATTACGGCGCGCTAGGAAAATTTACAAACATGGACCGTAAAGTTTTATAAACTTAGCACAAGGGCGTCTCATATATTGGTTCTGATAACATAGGTAGCAATAACACTTTTGTATTTATAAAATTTTGCAAAACTCTTTCAAAACCAAAAAACCGCATTGGTACATACGAGCCGTGAGCCGGGGCATGAGCTCTACGCAACTGAATCGTAGCGTACAGTTTAAATCTTTGATTTTATACTTGACACGTATAATATAATCAAAGTTTAAATACTTCCTTGTGGAAGTCATACATCCTGGAGGAATTTGTTTTGGAAAAAATGACGGTATAACTTATGATGAGTAGTCATACAAATAAAATACCAAGACGTTAAACTATGATACTAACAAGGTACATACATCATGCCTTTAAAGTAGCACCTGAAGATACGTTTGTTGTGTGTTAACTCGTAATGTATCAAAACCATATATTTACTATGTCACATAGACTGAAAAGTTAGCATGCCATCCATCTATTTAACTAAAACATAACCTAATCTAATATTCTTTTATAAAGTATTGAAACGTGTTATTTTCCCGCGTATTCATTTTAATAATTTATTTTTAATAAAGTGGACATGACAGGATGGTTGGACAATTAACAGAGGATAACAAAGAATTCAAGCAAATATTACCATTATTTAAGAAATAATTATTTGTATCCAATTGAAGAATAAGATATCAAATCACTGCATCGACAACTGCAACGAGAGTACTTATTTCCAACTTAATATTTATTGTTATAATTCACTGTACATTAACCAGTTGAAAAATATATCACGATACACAATAACTACAATTGTATTTTCACTTTATCAAATTATCATATTAATTAATAAAACACTTAAATACGACATTTTTACCTGTTCAACTAGGGAAACTGAATGGGAATGATCAATGACTTTAACAAGTAAGAATCAAGAATGCCGCAGTTCAATCAGCTGTTTCAGTTCAGTAGTCAGTACCTACTTAACTATGAGTTCACTTCACATTCATTCCATTCGCTTCATCCGCAGTGTTGCTTGTCAGTGACAGCTGTTTTTTTATTGTTTCTATTACAAGTTGCGTCATAATGATGAGTTTTATTTTAAAAGTTTTAAAAAGAGTTTTATGTTATGTTCATAGGTTTTTAATTTCATTTTTTATTCCATATATTTGAAGAACTTTTGTAATGTTGCCTTTTTGAACGGTCACTTCGCAACCAGTGTTCAACTTCATCATGTCAGTGAAGGTATGCGCGCGCATCGTCATAATTTTTGCCAAACGCACCAAAAGTATAACTTTAAAAATATATCGAAGATATGTGAAGTCCGCCAATCCGTAGTGAAAAATATTAGTAATAAAATATTAGTAATCCGTAGTAAAATTTATTTAAAATATGCTATAGTTTGCTCATCATCAGTAAGAAGACGTTCCCTACTTAAAAAAGAACTCCTTCGGAGAACGCTATAACGAACGATGTTTTAGTTTTATATCATTTATAACATCTCCTGTATCCAGCGGTCATTTACCCGCGGATATTTTCCGATCAAATTGTCAAGACTTACACAAAAAAAATCTATATGAACTTTATTAAACAGCCCACACCTCTGTGTCTCACGCCCGGTTTCATGGTAAAACTCTAAATTGATCAGAATGGTCGTTTTAATGATCGGAGTGAACAATTTAAATAGTTTAACCATCCTTTTAGCAACTCAAATGACATTTGAAAAGCCATTTTACAGCTGATTATTGAACTTCTACGATGATCAGTCTTTCAGAAACCGGAGTCAGACAGCCCCTTAAACGATGTTATCTGTGCCTGAATATTATTTTGTAATCTGTGACGTGGTCTTTTCACTTCACTCATTCATTCTATACTAGTCATTCACTTCATACTCATTCATTGTTTGTTGCTCAAATGCTCAGCTCATGCTCATTCGTATTCATATTTCATAGAATTCTTTTCACTTTAGAAGCGTCAAGCGTGTGAATTTAATTTCGAAGAAAATAATATGTAAAAAGAGTGTTTTTATCGATTATACTTATATAAGTTTTATAGTTCATATAAATATAAATATGTCGAATTGGATCGGTTACGCCGTCTCTGTAAACTGTGGTGAACCCCTTGGTTGCTATCAAGGGACAATTTTAGAGACTGATGGCACTACAATAACTCTGACAAAAGCTTTTAGGAATGGCTTTCCCTACCCAAAATCAAAAGTCACTCTTAAGTAAGTTTCATGGTCATAGGTTATTAAATATTTTTACAACATTTTTATCACTGTTGTAGTGGTTGTCTAACATAACACTTGTGGATTAGATCTTAAAACTTTTTTGTGTCTTTGATATAATGGACATATTCAACCCAAACAAAGCTAAATCTATGTATAATAATATCTTTCGTGTTTAGTAGTGAAATATCGGATACTGGGACTAAAATGTTTTGTGTTTTTAATTATTTTATTTGTTTTAATATTTAGTGCTGCTGATATAAAGGATCTAAAGATAATTGAAGAGTCACATTCTCAGCCAGTTAAGCAAACTCATAGTACAGTGGCTGTCACAAAGAACAATAAAAAGGGTCAGCGTGCAACAGTATGTGAAAACTTGCAAGCCAATCCGTCTAGTTTACCTTGTACAGGTATAACAACTAAGAATTTGTGAAATATATTTAACTATTTGCATGGACTTATCAAAGCTAAAATAATACATGTTAATCTTTAAAAATAGTTCTATTTAATTATTCACTAGATCAAGTTTAAAAAGTTCCAGTGAAGCAGATAGCTTGTTAGTGTGTATAAGATTCAATTGAAAAATATTAATTTTTGTATAATAATGACTTAATAGGTCATGTCATTTCCTTTATAGCCCATTTGCTATTTTATTTTAAAATTATTATTATTTTTAATTAACTACAAATAATTCATGTTGAAAAAATTGTATTGTCCAGTCAAATTTGTCCAGAATATGTTGGTTTTGAATGTATTAATTTTGTGATCTAATGTTACTGTTACAGTTAGCAATCAACAAAATACAAATATTTTGAATACTGCTCATGTAACAAAGACTGCATCTGTACGAGGGGGAGGAACAGGACCAACAAGGAGCAAGCCGATTGATATTCAGGGATCTAAAAACAATAAGAACATCAGCCATTCTGGTAATTAATTGGGACTTTACCTTATGCCAAAGTCTGTGATTGTAGCATTGATAGGTGACATGGTTATTTAAAGTGAGTTTTGTAAAAGAAAAGAATGGTAAACGAAACTTAATATTAATATATTTATTTGGATGGAGGTAAAATTAACAGGTTTGTGTCACCGCCACACTTAATGCCACAAGTTTTGTTATCAGTGTTGGTAACATTAAAATTTTGATATCATTTGGTTTTTTAATATTTGATCTCTGTAAAACAAATTTCTTTTTTTCGTTTGTAGAAGTCAAGAATATAAAATTATTGGTTTTAAAAATATAATAGGTTTTTTGCAGTCTTTTTTTAATCATTACTGTATTTCATATATTGATGTCTATTAATTGGAACAAAATTTGGGAATACCTTGCAAAATGGATCAGGAAGGCCGTTCGGTGTGACGAGCGATCTATTGAGATAGATAAGGTGTGCGCGTGCGAACTCAGGCAGCTCGGGCGCGGCCGGCTCGACGCCGAAGGGGCGCGCGCCCGGCGAGAAGGCGCGGCGCCGCAACGAGGCGTGCTTCGGCGACGCCGCGGAGCCCGCGCTGCTGCGCGACTTCGACTTCGAGGGCAACCTCGCGCTCTTCGACAAGCAGGTGAGGTGGCGGCGGGCGGCGCGACCGGCCCGAGTGGGTGGCAGGGGGAGGGTACCGTACTGTGTGTCTTCGGCCGCGCAGGCGCTGTGGGAGGAGATGCGCAGCGGCGCGGCGCGGCCGGACGTGGTGCGCGGCGCCGACGAGGCGGGCGCGCGGCTGCGCCACGACGAGAGCGTGCTGGGCGCGCGCGCGGCCGAGCGCGGGCCCGCCATCGAGCTGCCCGAGGAGCTGCGCGGCGGCGTGCAGTACCGCACCGAGGCGGGCGCCGCGGTGCCGGCCGCCAGCGCGGCGCTGCGCCGGCGCCTGTGGGCGGCGCTGCGCGGCGCGGCGGCCGAGGCGGCGCGCGTGCTGCTGGCGCGCGCCGCGGCCGACGACGTGGCGCTGCGGCTGGTGGGCGGCGGCCGCCGGCTGGAGCGGCGCAACGCGCACCAGGCGCCCGTGTGCGTGGCGCTGGCGGGCGCGCACCGCTTCGGCGCCGCCGCCGTGCTCGCCGCTCGCTTGCTGCACTCGCACGGCGCCCGCGCACACGTCTTGGTCGCGGGTACGTCTCGTCTGTACGGATTTGTGAAAAGTGAAAAGTCAATCCGAGCGCTGTTGTGGTCAATCCAATGTCGGAGAGTGAAATGGAACGTCGGCAGGGTCGGAGGAGGCGGTGGCGGCGTGCGGCGAGCTGCAGCGCGAGCTGAGCGCGCTGGCGGAGAGCGGCGTGGGCGTGGGCCCGGCGCCGCCCAGCCCCGACCTGGTGCTGGTGGCGCTGCACGACCCGGAGGGCGGGGCGGGCGGCGGAGGCGGCGGAGGGCGCGCTGGCGTGGGCGCGCGGCGCCCGGGGCGCGCTGCTGGCGCTGGAGCCGCCGGGCGCCGGCTGGGCGGGCGTGAGCGCGCGCGCCAGCGTGGTGGCGCTGCTGCCGGGCGCGCTGGCGCCGTCGCTGGGCCGCGTGTTCCTGGCCAACGTGGCGCCGCCGCCGCACCTGTTCCGCGGCCTGCGCTACCGCTCGCCCTTCGGCGCCGGCAGCCTGCTGCCGCTGCACCCCGACGAGCCCGACGAGCCCGCCCAGCCCGCCTGACTTTCGCCCGCGCGCTTTAACATCTACGTCTAATTAAATAAATTATCTTTAAAATATATTTTTTAAATACAAATTTATTGTTAATGAAAATAATTGTTTCATTCATTTTTTATTATTTTTTAATTTAGCAGTGGTATTGGCCTTTTTTCACGTGCGTCATGCGTGTCAATAACAGCCGCTGGACGAACCAACTTTGAGAAATATTATCGAAATGTTTGAAATTCGCAATTACGCCGCGAAAAGTCTCGTACGAAAAATTATCTGCAGTGTAGAGGACAGTTTGTACAAAAATGATAACAGAACGGAAGATTCGAAGGCCATACGCCAAGACATATCGTCTATGTATCTATGTTGCGTCGCAGTTCACTGCTGAAATTAAATCTCCCTAAATGTGATTTAAAAGCGTTAAACAACCTACGCAGTAACACGGATTTAACAATCCTCCGCGTGGATAAAATGCTACCGATGTTATGGATACTGACGTATCAACAATTTAAAAATTAAAAAATTTTTTTTCGCATGAAAACATATGAGAAGGTCAAACGACAACAAAAACGCCTAAATCAACTAACGAACTCGTAAAGAAACACTTCAAGAAATTGAGTCTGGACGTAAATTCGATAATATCATCTTAAGTAAAACCCCTAAAATTGTATGGGTTACCTAAAATTCATAATAGCAAACCGACTCACAAACTTACAGACTGGCCCAATATGTTGTTAAGATGCTCTTACTACTCAAAGGACATACAAAGGCGTACACTAAAGATTCATACCATTTTCTCAGTGAGATTAACCACCTACATCTTGCTGACCATGAAACTAAAACTTTCTTTCTTACTAATTGTGGAAGAAGAATTCTACATACAGTTGGATGGTGAAGCAATGGGGGGCTGCCCAGTATTTCCCATTGTTGATGACATATTAATGACTGAGGAGAAGGCCATTCAAATAGCTTCTTTTCAACCAAGATTTAACAAGCAGTATGTAGATGATACTTTCACAATTTTACCATGAGGCAAAGTAAATTCCTTGCACTCTAAAATCAAATTCACTATGGAATTACTAGCGTTTCTAAATGTATTAGTCATCCAAATCTTAAGAACACCTTTAGCCGTACTGTCTATAGAAAGGAAACCCATACAACTAAATATTTAAATCGTGATTCTCACCACAATACTTCGCCATCTTTACGGCTTTGAATCTGTTAATATTCCGCTGAATTAAATTAAAAAAATTTTTATACCGATATATCGTCTAAAATATCGATACATTTAAACAAAATATTGATATAAGTATCGATATTTTTTTCACAACCCTAATGTCAATAAGATGTACATCAAGCACCGCGACAGCAACATGTAAACGTAGTGATTACATTCTCTTTGATGTATTGTTTCTGGTTATTCTACCTACGATCAAAACCATAGTAACTAACCAGAGTAACTTTCTAACCTTGATCAAAACAAGTAAATGAGTCTGTCGATGAAGCGACAAAAACAGATAAAAATTATTTTCAGTAATACAAATATTTGAATATGTTTCTTTTATATGGGAAGGTGGCAAGGGAGCTGGCGGTTCACCTGTTGTTAAAAGATAACCGGGCGCCCACTGACATTTGCAAAACTCGTAGGGGTGCAAATGCGTTGCCCACTTTTAATAAAGTGGGCCCCGGCTACCTCATTCTAAAAAACGAAACGCAGATGTATAGGTAATACTTCCACTTCACGCCAATCTTCTGTGAAGTCGTGGTACTTACCTGGAATGACCTGCCCATTCAGGCAACAGTAGTTAGATCAAAATCAGCTTATGAAATGAAATTATTAAAATAATTTAAAATTTGTATAAAAATGGAAAAATTAACATTGGCAAAAAAACTTTGGCCGCTGCGACTAAATGGTCCTAGCAGTGGTGAAATAAGTTGGTATTTTCATCGGTGCGTGTCTCGGAGTACACAGGGGCAAGTCCTCGTAGTCGAACTTTTCGTTCGTTTTTGTACAAATTTTAAAAGTGTAGGTAGAGAATATTCAGTAAACTCTGAGGAAAATCTTCAGATTTATATATATAAAATAATATTTACCAGATCTCATTTGTCAAAATACAACCGTTTAATGCACAATATTACATCGATTTTAATTTAGTTCTTAGGTGTTTTATCAATTTTTCGGTTAGTGAACAGTTTAATTAAATAAATTTTAGTCTCTTTATAATAAAAAAAATTTCTACTGGTTACAGATACTAAATTCGTTAATTGTGTATATATGGCGAGGTATTCACCTCAGCATATACAGGGAGAATTTTCGAAGTGTATCCATTTTTTTTACTAAATTCTAGACATAATGTTATATAAAAATGATAAATATTTAAAATCACTCTTTTTCAAGTTTTTTCTAGTTCAATTCATTTGAACTTATCTCAAAAAGTGCGTGATTTATGGGCAACTCATTTATTTTACGCGCGATTATTCATAACTAACGCGCGCACAAGTTCATTTCAAAAATATACGATTACGACGCATTTATGAATGACTATGGCATTGTCAACAAGTTAAAGAACAAATATAATAAAAGTTATAAACAATACAAGGAATTTTTTGGAAAAAAAAAGTTCGTTTTTATTTCAATAAACGATTTTACTACCGAGTCTGAACTTCCTGTGTGATTTTGGGCACCTTTAGAAAAGCCATCCTGTATACATAATTAATAAAGATAATATCTGAAGACCATTCGATTCCATCAACAACCGTGACATGTAGTATATTCATTTTGGTGAAAACATTTTTTACACCACAAAATTGAACTCTATAGAGCCTGCCCATTCATGCAGCAGCCGGAGTCGCTGCTCAGCCCTACCACAATACTGAATCCCTCTTTTAAAGTGTTTCTTCGATCAATAAGAAAGCCGTGCCAGTTTAGTAAGTGTATAGTTTATTAATTATTAACAATAGTTTGAAAGTCATAAAAAAAGTGTGTGGTACAGTAAGTGGCACAATTATGGCAATGTAACCTCCGAATCGAGCATCGATTACGACATAATTTACTGTCGGAGGGCTTGGGTGTGGCGAAAGAAAAGTCGGCGCTAGGAAGGTCCATTGATTTATTTCCAAAATAAAAATACAAATCGATCCTCAAAATGCGGGCCGCGACGTCACCGAGTAGCGCTCGGCCGCCGACACCGACATCGCCGAGATCTACACGGTGTATTATATATTACAGGTCGCAAGCCCTTCCCGCGTGACATGTTTACGGTAACATTTTTAACAAATAAAAAAAGCGACAAATCCTTAAACGCTACCCTATACTCTGTGCTCGTGATAATTGATTCATAAAATCAATAAAATATTTATAAAAATAATGTGTGCGGTATCATTTTATTATGTACATAATAACCGAGCGAGTTCCACTGGAAAGGGTTAAGGAACCGACGGCGGCTGATCGCCGCCCTCTCGGCCTCGGACCAACAACGACACGTTCACAATTCAATTAGGTTACGTTCACTTCGCGCCGTACGCGCTTTTCGCCCCATCGAATCAAAAACCCTACGAATACCGCCGAAACTGAACAACATACAGATAGATTTTAAATTTCCCATTTTGACAACACCGATACACACATAGCATTTATACAGCGTGTCGTTACAACGGCGACAATAAATGAACACGTCTAACGCTACTTGTCAATAATCATAAAAAAAATTAACGTTAAAAAATACATAATAATTTTTTTTTTCAAACAAATTTATTAAGTAAAAAAGAAAAAAAATTGTAACATCCTATACAACTACAACTGACCATTCATACATTCAGAGACTTTTCATTCGTTGGCACAGCGTCGCATTACAAGCCTCTCCTTCTAACAGTATGTTTTGTCTATTTTAAATTCATTCAACTCATTCATATGCTTTGTGACCTTTACAAATGAACTTCACTTTACAGTTTTATACGTAAGGTTGTTCTAAAATTGTTTGTTTTGGAAAATTTAATAACTCTGTAAATATTGATGTCTAAAGAATGTATATGTTTAATACTATTTTAAAAAGTTATTCTCTATATGTGTGTTCATGTATTGTCGCGATTGTAAAGACACGCTGTATAAGAACCAGACCCCGAATAAGTCTTATTTCAGTAAAAACTAATAGACCATGTCTTATATAATATGATATAAATTACGTTTGAGACAATTCTTTTTTGCAATTTCTATGTGCTTGATAATAGCATTCTGTTCATCTGTCGGTGGTCGGCCATGATGAGAAAAGGCTCACCGCCGATGGGGACCAGCGTGGCAGACGGCTGGTGAAAGGGATCCGTCGAAAAGTTAAGAGTATTCGCAGGCGGACTACTTGATTGAGGCGACGGTCATATAACCTATTGGGTGTAAATAATACGAACTAGGTAAACTTGTGTAAAAAATACTCAAAAACACATATAAAAGAGGTGCGCCCGAAGTCAGCTGAACGAGCGAAGGAATCGAGGGGACTTAAGCGCCCCCCTGGAATATTCGGGAAATGCTCCGGACATTGCAGGTGCGAACCTTACATCGATTGCATAAACCCACTTACGGAACTAGGACACAGTTACGATAAATATCTAAGTAAATTGACTCACAAGAAAATATTTCACTTTTCATCTAAAACTCGCACATGCACAGACACACGCATACGAACACCACACCACACAATAGCACATAGAAAACCACCACAGGCCAGGTACATACGCCAAGGCGCCTACACGACACGAAATGATCCTACGAAGCTACACGAACAACAACAGCGTCCGGCATCCTAGAAAGCTACGCGTCGCGGTCGGCGCGGTCGGCGCGGTCGGCGCGGTCGGGCCGGTCGCCGAGGCGCGCCCGCAGCGTGCGCGCTCGCTCGCTCAGTCGGAAGAGCTCCTCCTGCACGCGCTCGGTGATGGCGCGCCGCGTCTCCTCCTCGGAGGCGTTGGCGCCGCGCAGCCGGTCGCGCAGCGCCAGCAGCGGGATGGGCTCGCCCACGCACAGGTAGAGCCGCTTGCGCAGCCGCAGCCGGTACGGCTCCGCGTTGGGCAGCACCCGGTCCAGCCCCTCGTGCCACACGGGCACCACCAGCGGCTGGTGGCCGCGCGCCCAGCTCTCCGCCACCAGCCGCCCCACGCCCCACTTGAACCTGCCCACCGGCGCCGAATTCTTGTACACCGCGAGCCGAACGAAACTACCGCGCGGGCCGATGCTTCAGTGTTTTTTTTGTTTGTTAAAATTTTTTTTTATTCACGAATTTCAATTTCAATGGAATTTTTAGAAAATCTTGGGGTAAGCCCTGCGGCTTCTGTAAAGTTATTTAGCAATCGGATGAACAAAAATGAATTTTAATAATCAAGAATATATAAGGGCTGCCGGTGCGAAGCCGTGGCAGTTCGCTCCTTCGTGATACATTAGTAGGTAACATTGGCCCGCGTGCTAGCTTTCAATTTTTTTGTTATAATTACATTGCCCTTAGTGGACAAAAGTATCATGTTTTGCATACATGATATTCACGGGGACAAACACCCAGATCCGAAGCAAGCATCAGCGGGCCACGCAAATAGTTGTCCCGTGGGCACGTGGCGCGGAAGCCATTGGCTTGACAAGCGCGCCACAAGCCCGAGGGGCGTCCACGCACCGGATGCGCTCCTTTTCCACGTTGACCCTGCCCTCGGGGAAGATGTGCACCCACTCGCCCAGCGCCAGACGCTCCACGCAGAAATCCATCGCGGGCTGAGGGGCAACTCTTGTCGTTTACAATCGCTTAAACCTGCATTCATTACCACGTTAACTTATGTTAATTACGTTCGTTGTAATTAACATAAATTGACATGCTAATCGATTATGTCACACTCATATTCAAATACGACAGTGTCACAAGACTAAGGCTTTTGAAGAAAATATTTGTCGCCGAATATGCGAAAAGCAACAGTTTTTAATGTACGAAATGTAGATCTTAAAACTCTTTAAAATTCTAAATAAAACTTATTATTTACGTCCATCGCCTCAGTCTGTCGAAAAGAGACGTCGCGAAATGAAAAGGGTAATTACTTTCCATTCTTTAAAATGTTAAATATACTATAGTGTTTGAACAACAATTTGAGCTTGGCTATTAGAATTATTATGTCGCCGACCTGGTGGACGCCGGCGCCGCGCACCACGGGCACGCACTTGCCGAGCGCGAAGAAGCACGCGTGCAGCGCGTTCGTGAAGCAGATGTCGTGGGCGGCGAGCGCCCAGCGCATCCGCGACCGGCTCACCAGCGTCCGCGTCTCCAGCACGCCTGCCGCCACCGCCACCACACATTATTCACCACCACATTCTACCACCACGCCCACCTCACACACACTTCCACGGTCTAGTCTATTGGTAGGTCATCAGTCAGACGTATCATAAATCAAGCATTAGGTAATTCAGTCCTTGTGTTTGAAGTAGCGGGTTGGATGAAAATACCTGAGGAATATTTGTGGCAACAGGCGCGAGGCGAATCTAAACCACTGCGCCATTAATTCAGTCAATAGGCCATGTTTCAGAAAAAATAAAATCTCTCCCCTGCGTTGCGTGCTCAGCCCGAAGCGGACATTTGATATGAGCGCTTTTTCACAAACACACGCAAAGCACGCGATCGAATGAATTGAACTAGTTCAGGTTTCTCGCACCTTATCGGATTCTTTTTATAATTTTATCGCAAGAACAAATTCGAGGAGTTTACTTAGAAAATGAAGTAGGGAAATAGGGGAGTAAGGAATCCAGATGATTTTTGACTAGAATAAAATCGATCAACTGATGTTACTTTCCGCTAAAGGAGTAAGCAATAACGGTTTTTATTGTTATGAACATTAAGGGTAAAATGGCGAATTGCCTGTCAAATAACAATATGTTCGAATTTTTATTTGTGTTAGTGGTAATCTCTGCACTTATATATTGTAATTGTTCTTCTTGTACTTCATCGAAATCGTGTACGAGCAACGGACAAAATCCATATAAACGAATTTATATTCGAATAGATTAAGCCCAACATCGATTTTAAAATGTAAATGGGCCTTTACAATGGCACAGATTTCCACCTGACTTTGATCGCTTGAGGTTGAATTCTAACGAAAGGCGCTGAGGTCACTGGCATGTGTTTTTGGGTGCGGAAACGTTTCTCAGCAGAACGCTATGCCCTACTCAAGTGCGCAGTTATTGAACGGTTAAGTACACGATGTGTGAACATAAAATCCTATCGAGGATAAGTTAAATGTTGACTTATATTTCAAAGGGCTAACAACGGTGGTAGCGGGTTACATAAAATGAGGCCACGAACACCCAGACACGTTGCCAACCTTTGCCAGAGTCAACTTCAACCGCTACATAAAATAATACTTTTCCTACAAGCCGCTCATCTGAGAGACCGTGGCGAGGTGACCTGTTTGTGTAGCAGGTATCTTGGTTGTTATTGCTCTATGACAATTGTCAAAAACCCGATTTCAAAAGTAACCCTGGAAAGAATCGCTAGTAAACTAGATACTTCAAATTTATTTCGGTACAAGATCGAAATAATTAAGTTAAAAGAATCAATAGGAAATCATGAATTTGCAACAAAGTACAAGTCCTAAACAATATACTAGGGCTATCAAAATTATGGTAATCAGTGAATCGCTGATAAGACGGTTTTTATTGTGTACAACGTTACGCGTTACTCTCTTATGATAATATCGTTGATATGTGTTTAGATTGTCGGAGAATTTTTAGACAAAGAAACAAATATAATTGAAATGAGTAATGGCTCTGAGGGTCACTTATCGCTTATTTATAGCGGCGCGTTTGCAGATAGGTACTGTATCGATGTGTGAACTAGTCAGCTACATTGGATGCGTCAAATCGACCACCAAGGGTCAGTGACGATGCGAAGCTAAATGGAAGCGTTACACATAAAAACTGGAACAAAACCATCGGATAGGCAAGTAAGGCGGCGACGGAGATCCTAATGAATCACCAACACTTTCAGGTCATATTTTTAAACTTTGATGTGACTTTAAAGTTATTGATGAGGTTTAAAACGAATCATAAGAGTTGATTAGACTTATTATATTACCAATAGAAGTCATATTAATATGGTAATTGCTCGGCTCCGTGGTGGCACTTAACTACCAATTCATAGATTTGTAATAAATGGACGTATTGTTCAAGATAGACTAGTAGAATCGCTTGGGCCCAAACTAAAGGCGACGTTTTGCAAATATTCTATTACAAGTTAAAAAGTTGATGTAGATTATAGATTTTACTATTATTTGTTGGGTTAATATATTGGTCAATTGTTTCACGTTATTGCTTCTACGTAAAGTTGCTATACAGTTTGCAAATTATCATGAGCGTTTTTGCTACGCAATGTTTTTGTGTTGACTTACTATGAATTTATCTTTCCATTGAAAATGATTATAAACAAGTTTGGGAGCATTTCCAGTTTATTGAGAATAATCTTGTTGTCTTTCAAAGGTACAAGGCAAAATTCGATCACCTCCGGTGTATCGGACCTTCACGAAAACATTTGCGCCAAAATATATATTGCTTTTATTATTATTCATTCCACGAGGTCTGACGGGCGAAATATTAAGGTGCGATTAGGTGGTGTCGGGTGGCATCAGGTGGACTCACCCCAGAGGCCCGGGTCGTCGAAGCACGAGTGGTGGTTGGAGACGGTGAGCAGGGGCACCCCCGGGGGCCGGCGCACTGCCCGCGCCAGCGCCTCCCGGTTGTACACGGTCGTCTTGTTCAGGAACTCTGCAACATTCAGGAACCACGCGTTGTATGCCTGCTTTAATGTGCTACACTTACGTTCCGTACTTCTAATTTACGAAGATATTATATATTAGCCATAGAATATCTTCGAACAGCATCCAATCGTGCCAGAGCAGAAATGGCTGTATACTGTGGCACAGCACAGAAAGAATGGATTATAACATATCCTAGTTCTGTCCAGAAAACTGTTCAGCGGGAGCACGAATTATAGGCACGGATGTCATTATAAGTGTATTTGTTTTTACACCACAACAGGCTTACAGATTTTCATTAGTTATGGTATGGATCAGCTTTTAGATGGAGAAATAATAACCTTTTATGCCATAAAAATTAACCATTAAAAGCCGAGCGCCCGAAACCTCTCGTGAATGACAGTATCAAATAAGTTTTAATTGATAAATCGTTTAAAATATTTTCATTATGTTAAATTATGCACAATGTGAACACCGCACGCTTAATATAATTATATGGAAAGGCAGTCCGTTAAAAATTCTATACATTTTTGATGAATATGGGACTATAAACTGTGGAGTGTATCCATCGCTCGTAACGTCGGTGCTGACGAATAAGTCGAGAAGAGTTCTCCATAAGCCTGGCGAAATACATCTTATCAATATAAGATGTATCCGATCGTTCGTGTTAAGATAAAAGCGGATAGCGCGTCAGCGATGTTTTTTATAGATCAAAATGACACGTCAATACATTATATCAGCAGAATTTCTTTCCAATTTTTCTGGGCACTGGTCGACATCAGGGTCATAAAAACTAGAAACAAGTTTTAAAAGAATAAAATGATCCTAACTGTGAAAAAGTCGATGCTACCGCCATGAATCACATATTTGGTTTGGAATCGACTAATCTTAACGCTTAACCCAGTGAGTTAAAATATAGGTATTTAATTAATGTGACAAAAAAACACTCCTTTTATGATTTAGCTAGCGACAATTTAAATTGAAGGTTATTCTAGTATGCATTAAATCAGTCCAGTTGGTAAAACTAATGAAAACTAAAACAATATAACGTTGACAATAGATAGAGAGATAGGTATTTATCACGAAAACTTCAAGGAGACAGTGCAACGTTGACCTGCACAGCGATTGCAGACTCCCGACGATTCGCGAATATTTTAAAGACCTGACCAAAGGGTTCTTCGATAGAGCCGAACATCATCCCAACCCTCTGGTGGTAAGCGCAGCAAATTACCAACCCGACACAAACGCGAACGTCAACAAGAGTCGCCCGCGAAACGTCCTCATCGACCCGGTCGAGGAAGGGGACTTAGATACGTCGGACCCATCGCCGGGGGTCCCGCCGGATAACACTACACCCACAGCTAGTGTAACAACAAATACAATAGCGTTCCGGGGCGGTTCTCACCGCCCCCAGCCACCGATTAGCTAATTGCACAGTCGACGGCCATCGGGGTTTCGGTCCGATCCGCGACCTCGATGGCCCTTAGATGACACACCATAGTTAAACGCACACATGAGCACATGCGTGGCCCTACCCACAGCGGAGGGCCCAAACCCGTGGGTTCCAGCTAGCCCACCGGTTCTGCGTCAGATGAAGCTTTAATAGTCTCGGGACTGAAAGCAAAAACATCAGTTAATATAAGATATAAGAGGAGACAGTGAAATTATCTTTACTACAACTATTATTAGTCGTGTCGGTCGTGCCAGATTGCGACCAGCTGGGCGCATCGCCTGCTCCAGTCAATGCACCGATCGCACCGACCGCGTCGCCCGTATTCCTTATATACCTATTACGAGACTGCGACAATACTATTGAAGTATTTATCATTAAAAGTCAATTCATTCCAGAGTGTCAAAAATAAGATGTCTTACTTTGCTTTAGTTTAACTACGCATCGGTTGTCACTTGCCAGGCGGGCAAACCTATTTTGAAGTACCCAAGTTCACACGCCGTGCACGCGATCGTGGGGTTTGGGTGAACAAAGGGCATACGAACTTTCTTTCTTTCTGTCTTTCCTTAAGGGTAATTTACTGGAGGCATTAGTTGAGTCATAGAGCCAGTCCGAAATGAAACTGGCTTCCTGGGTCCCTTATATTTTTAATGTGGGTGGCGAATGTCATTCTGGAGTCGAAGGTCACTCCTAGGTACTTAACCTTAATTTCTCAAGAGATTGCTTGATCATATAATATGATTTGCTCTATCTTCCTGCTCGGGTGAACCCAGTTAAAATACTATGTATTCTCTAGGTATAGCTACTAACTAGATAGCTGGAAAAATATACAAGTTCGGGTAACCACAGCTATATAATAATTTTTGTATTGAGTCAAAAGTGTGTGATATTAATATCAAAGCTACAGACTGCAGACTCGTATAAAAAAGCTCTTTTAGAATCATTAAGGAGGCTGGTTCGACTTCAGCCTCTAATGAGTTTCAAACGAAAGCACGCTTTAGGTCAGGCAGGAATGAGTCCAGCAATAGGTTTCACTTAATTCGGCGCTCACCTGTAGTGTTTGAGCGCAACTACACAGAATAAGTAATGAACACAGCAAGGCCAGAAGACTGCAGTATTCATTAAAATAATTTGAAATTGGTACAGAAATCCATTAGTATACATAATTTTGTGTTTAAGCTTGAATACCACGACCCACTTTGGGTGTTTTCGGTATATCCAATTAGTTATATTTTGGATATTGGTAAAGTACAACTTACAACCGTTCTCTGCATGGACACAAAATATTGGCACTTAGTCATTGTTGACTAATAAGTAGTGTATAAAAGTTAAATAGTCCATATTGTTAACTAGCGACCCGCGCCGGCTTCGCACAGGTTTAATGTATTATACATATAAACCTTTATTTTGAATCACTCTATCTAGTAAACGAAATCGCATCAAGATCCGTTGCGTAGTTTTAAAGATCTAAGCTTACATAGGGACAGACAGGCAGACAGAGGGACAACTTTTTTTTTATGCTATGTAGTGATTATAATTAATAATTATTATCATCAAGCCCCTTGCTTTGTATCGGATCTAAAGGGAGACAGGAAACAAATTTTGCCACAGTAATTATATATGTGCTGGTTAGGTCGAACGTTTTAACGAGTGCAGAGCAGCGAGATTGTATTTACAAACACTAGCAGTAGTTCTCCTTGCGAGGACACACTTGAAATATTATCAAAAACATGACATTAGATCATAGAGGATAACTTTTTAAAATTGTATTAAATATTTATTTTCCAAAACAAAGACTTTTAAAACACCCTTACGTATAAAACTTTAATGTAAAGGTCACAAAGCATATGAATGGGTTGAATGAATTTAAAAGAGACAAAACATACTGTTAGAAGGAGAGGCTTGTGATACGGCACTGTGGCAATTAATGAAAAAGTCTCTGAATCAGCCAGATGTAGTTGTACAGGATTTTACAAATTTTGTTTCTTTTTTAATTAATTAGTTTGTTTGAAAAATATATTTTTTTTAATTATGGATCTTTTAACCTTAATATTTTTTTATGATTATTGGCAAGTAACATTAGACATGTGTTCATTTATTATGCTACATAAACTTTAATATTGTACCTGTATAAAATAAAATATATAGTAAAAGTAAATAGCCTGTTGTAAAGTAGTTTTTACCTATAATTAAGGTACCACTCATCACTTTTTTACATATCTTGTATAATTCTTCTGTCACAGTGTGTACTTTGTTGGTGATAAATAAATAAATAAATAAATACAAAAAAAAGCTTTTCAATTAATTAATAAGCTTCATAAAAAAACATTTGATTTCATCTGCTAACTGGTGGTATTACAAAAATAATAAATTAGTAATTCTGCACAAGAGCTGATAGAGAAAGACTTCAATTGTGTGTTACTTATGTATGAACTAATTTTGCAAAAAGTTATTCAGCGTAGCCTTGAAAACAAGATTTATACATACGTAAAAATGGACATAAATCAATATTGTCACCTTAACATATACATCAGTAAAAGGTTAATTTAATGCTTACTTTCAAAATGTGGATGGTCCACAGTGAGTGTGAGCAAAGTTTCATTTGAACACATAACCAAATAAAAAACAAACAATAAAATTAAAAAGTAAACAAAGGATTTTTTTTTAATATTAGCGTACAATGTAGATGAAAGTTTAACCGTTACAGTTACATGTAATACAAGTAGTTACCTAATGTAACGATGTACGTAATCGCTAGGATGAATTATTTTATACAGAGTTAATGTAATTCATCCTAGCGATGTTTTCATTGCGAAACCTTTTATGAATAATATAGCGACTTACCAATTATGATTTTGCTAAACAATCCCACGACTGCCACCGTGATGGAACTGGCGCAGTTCCACAGTCTGCCCGGGTTCCGCAATCGCGGGATGATCCACCCGATGTCGTAGCCCATGGCTGTGGCGTGACCATTCGATCACACCAACTCACTCTATTAACATCATTCCTGTGATCAATTTAGTGTTAAAATTAATTTTTGTGCACTCACGACACGACACTTGTTCAACCTCAGTGCAAAGTCAAGTGACATTTCGATTTCTGATAATACCTATCTGACATTTATATAATTTGATAGATTGCATTAAGTGCTGCCCGCTGCTGTCGCGTTCAGTGTTGCTACAGCTATAAAAAAAGCTAAAAAACTTTTTATATATATGAAACTTTTATATTTTGTATATCAATTGGATCTTTTGAAGTATCTTTAAACGTACAAAAAAAAATACGATTTATATACAATGTAAATGTCTCGCCCAGAAAGCCGGAGGCCGGAGGGATAAAGCAATTAAGTACTACTTGTTTTATATAGATGGCGCTAAAATGATAAATTATTATTTATAAATTCAAAACAACCGTAAAAGTATTATAGAAATTTGTGTTTGAATTTCAATAGTAAAAGAACGGTTTATAAATATTCAAATTTTGTAATAGTGAATCTGTCTCTTGCGCCAGACGGTGTTGGTTTGATCCTAACTACTAGAAACAATATTGAGCGATGAACATAATGTTTTTGTAGTGTCGGGGTAATCATCATGTATTTTCTGACAAGACTCAAATATAGTTCAAGTGCAATAAGAGCATCATTTCGTTTAAGTATGAGTTTAAAAACATTGAACGACGATGAAAAACAAACTTCTCTAAAAAGGCCATGCTTTTCGAACACTTGGTATGAGATTAGTTTGGAGACTATCTTTCTTAAACTACATTGACATCATTGTTGGCAAAGCAAGCAGATACCAAGGATTTATTAATTGAGAAGGCAGAGAATTACATAAAATTTATAAAGCGTAGTACATACAAATATATGATATTTAATACGGATCTTCTGTTTGAAACTGTTATTACATTTCACTTAATGAAATACACAAAAATAAATGAAACAACATATTTTAGTAGTTTTAGTAAAAAATGTTAGTTTTAGTAAAAATGGAACCCTATTAAGATCACTCTCTTGTCCGTCTGCCTGTGCGTGTGTCACCGCCGATTTTATCACGAACGAATGGACCTAGCAAGTTGAAATTTTGTACCAGATACTCAAGTTTCTGTAGTGTCGGGGTAATCATCATATATTTTATTTAATTTTCACCTATTATGTGAAAATCAAGGTCCTCATTGAACACGATAAAAAGATATGAACAAATTTAGATTTTCACGAAAACATGTAAGTTCCAAAATTTACCTTAGTTTTTATTTTTCGGCATTTTCCCTTTACTTGTGAACGTATAAAACTGTAACGTAAAGTTCATTTGTAAAGGTCACAAAACATATGAAAGGGTTGAATGAATTTAAAAGAGACAAAACATATTGTTAGAAGAAGAGGCTTGTAATGCGACGCTGTGGCGCGAGTTGTATAGGATGTTACAAATTTTGTTTCTTTTTTACTTAATTAGTTTTGTTTGAAAAATATTTTTTTTTAATTATGGATTTTGTTTAACGTTAATAATTTTTTATGATTATTGGCAAGTAGCGTTAGACGTGTGTTCATTTATTGTCGCGATGGTAACGACACGCTGGACGCGAAAACCTAGATAGTAGTTCCCGTTGACCTAGAATCAGGAAATTTGGAAAAAAGCAAAGCAAAAATAAAGGAAAAATGCCGAAAAATAAAAATCAAAATCGATCATAGTATATCCATGTTATAGGTTAAAACTTATAACGTTATATATTTTTATAATTTTATTAAGTTTTGTTAATAATATTACATAATCCGCACACATTAGTATTAATAATACACAAAATTATTAAATACATAAATACAAAACAACATAGTGTTCTTGCTTAAGAATATCAGGACAGAATTTACTTTACAGACCGTTAAAATATTATATCATGGACGATTATAGCTAAATCTAAATTAACCAAAAACATGTTTTTAATGAAAATGTAAATTAAACAATATATTTTTAATAATAATGATAATATTATAAGTTTAACTGAACAAGAATTTTTTCTACATATTTTAAAGAATTTTTTCATTTTACTTCCATATTCCTCATCACAGATGTATTTACTAAAATATAATCTTTTAGTCACAATAAGTACCTAATTAATTTTAAATGCAAATGCGACATAATCGCTCGTGAGTCCCACAGCACTGCATCGAAAATTCCGTAGCGCTAATAATCGTGTGCAAACAGGTTGAACTCGTAAACGTCGCTTCTTTTGTTCTGGTTGTCATGAGGTTTCCGAAGCGGCAGCCTTATCAGGTACTGCCTCCTGGGCTGAAGACTTGCTTCCTCACTGAGAGTGTTCAAGGGTCTGGCGATGCCTATTGGCTGCGAGAAGGCGTATGGTGGCCTGTTGGGCAACACTTCTTCTGTGACATGCTTCCTTAGCGGCTGAGCGCAACAAATGGCCGCGCAGAGCACTGTCAGAACCGTTATCGTCGCGTGCATCTTCAGCGTTAGAATGTCGGACTGGTGTGCGTTAAATCTGTACCATATTTATATACGGGTTGATTGTATTGCGCGAGTACAGTGCGCGGCAGATTGAAGCGCGCGGGATTTCCTTGTTGTTGATACGGGTACGAATATTTCGAAGAACTCCGATTTGTATAGAATATTTCTACTATAAATAAATAATTGAAATTATTTAATGTTGACTCGAGTCGATATTGTTAATAGGGCTTATTTATGACGGGTAGGTATGTAAACTATAAAAGTTGAGCATACTTTTTTTGCCAAAGGCTCTGCAATGATGGGAGTATTAGGGGAACTTATACCGCACCAGCTCACAAATTCCTGATAAGGCCATATGGTTAATCCCCTATGCACTGTACTTTCTGTATAGCTTGTTGTTTGAAATTATACTCACTACTAACTACTACTACTAACAATAAATACTAAAATACGGAATTAAAAAATGTTTAAGTGGGACAATGTTTAAGAGACATGATTTTTTTGGCATATTTATAGATAATGGTACGGAACCCTTCGTGCGCGAGTCCGACTCGCACTTGACCGGTTTATTTTCATGTTCAGCCATAACATACATTCATACGGCGTTTCTGGCGCAGCACTTTATGCTTTTTGGTCTGGATTTATGCTTGACTACAATACAGTTGATGTGGTTGATAGATAAGTAAATGCCTTTACCGTCTTTAACGCAAGGTGCGTTAAAGAACTTATAGTTGAAATCCTAAACGTGCTTTGCTTCTCAAATTATCCCTCGAAGTTGAAGTAAAAAACAAATGGAATCGAATTAGCTAATGGTTTTAAATTGTAACAATTAGAATGGTTTTTGTCGACGTGTGTATTGCGGCACCATCGCGTCTGACTGTATCGTTTCGTTTGAATTCGAAAATTATGCAGCGGGAAAGGCCCACGGCTTCCATGCCGCGCCATTGCCCGCCATTGTCCGCCATTGGCCGCGGCCCGCCCCGCCATCCACATCAATGCGCAGCCATTTTAATGATCAGTGATCACTAGTACGCATCGCAAAGTGGGTTAAGGATTTTAATTTATGAATATTCTGCTTTTAGTAAATACTAAGACTAAAAAGATTTGGTCCGATGTACAAGTGAAATAAACACAACTAACATCTTTAAGTCAACTACGAATTAAAGCATGAAATTGAAACGTTAATGTAACTTTACTCCCAACGTGGACTGACGTCCTGGTTGAATGATAAAGTAACTGTTTTAGAAATTAACAGTATATTGTACCGAAACATTACGTAACTGCGTGCCCTCGTTAAACTTCAACTGCACGCGTGTGATTAACGCGGCGTTACTCACTGTTGTTTTTCACTTTTTAGAAAGTTATTCACGTGTCTAAACAGACCTTACGTACCTATGAAGACAGAAAAACCTTAGGCAACGTCTTCCACCTCTGTGAAGATGATGTGATGTGATGTTAGGGTCCTGATGAAGAGTCTCCAAATGGGCAGACAGTTTTTGACAAGTGCATTTTAAATCGACGAAATTCCCGTTTAAAAAAGAAAAAGTTGAAACAACCATGTCACAGCCGCAGCCGAATGGTTTGCAGCCGACGCAATTAGCTCTAACGTACTAATCTCGATCTATCATTAAAGTGATCTAATATTTCACGCAATGATGCACATGGATGGAAACGGCACATCACTAGGTCACACCTCAGCACTCGGCAGTAGCAAGGGCCACAATACGATTAGATGGGAATTTCTAAATTAGTCGTCTAGTGCGTCACACTCTGAGTAATTTTCAAGGCGCCTCTTGTATGGCACACTAAGAAGGACTTATTACTATAATCTTAGTTACTCTTCTCTCGACTAAATTTGTGTTTCTTACATCATAAATATACAATTCTTAGGCATTGATGTCCTGACCTGACTCCTGTGTGCAAATGCATGAGTAATGTTAATCTACATTAGACCGAATAATTTCCTAAAGACCCAATAACTTATTTTATTAAAATGCACGAAAAGCTGATACAAACATCAATATCAGATTTTAGAACCATAATTTTTTTTGCCAAAGTGAGATCATTTTTGGGTTCAGTTTGCGTACGTATGTGTTTGTATTGTTCGCACAATAATTAAGGTTTTTATTATACTTATATCTCTTCATTTATTGAATATGGGTTGTGTGTTTTTAAATTATATCAATTCCTGAACTGTTTAAACAGAAAACAAGTATAAAAGTAAAAGTAAAGTAATAGCTTATACATTTACTAGATATATAATATATACAGCGTGTCGTTACAACCACGACAATAAATAAACACACATATAGAGGATAACTTTTTAAAATTATATTAAATATTTGCATTCTTTAAACATCAATATTTACCGAGTTATTAAATTTTCCAAAACAAACAATTTTAGAACACCCTTACGTATAAAAATGTAACGTAAACTTCATTTGTAAAGGTCACAAAGCATATGAATGGATTGAATGGATTTAAAAGAGACAAAACACACTGTTAGAAGGAGAGGATTGTAATGCGACGCTAAGGCAACGAATGAAAAAGTCTCTGAATGTATGTATCAGTCAGTTGTAGCTGTATAGGTGTTACAAATTTTGCTTCTTTTTTACATAATTAGTTTGTTTGAAAAATATTTTTTTTAGTTATGGATTTTTTTTAACATTTATATTTTTTTATGATTATTGGCAAGTAGCGTTAGACATGTGTTCATTTATTGTCGCGGTTGTAACGACACGCTGTATATAAAGATAATGTAAAGTGGAACAAAAATTAAACGACATGCGTCAACTTTATTAAAACATCTATAGTTTCTTTTCAACGAAACGTCTCTCCTGAAAATAGGTGAAGAATCATGCATAAAAGTATTATTATATTAAGTACTAGCTGACCTGGCAAACGTTGTTTTGCCAAATAAATTAGTGAATTTGAACACATAGAAAAAGAAATTTTCGGAACGTACACATAAAATGTTTGACAGGTAGGAATAGTTTGTATTGGAAAATAAAATTGTTGCTAGTTCGATTTTCCATGTAATTTTTTCCATAATTTCTTATCCTTACCTTAGCTGACTTAGCAGAATTAGCCAAGTTGTTCCAGCCGTTCTCGAGTTTTAGCGAGACTAACGAGCAGCAATTCATTTTTATATATATATATATATATATATATAGATTAGTATATGACGTTTTATAATAAAGTTATATGGGGTTGCGTCGAGCAGCAGTACTACAAAACTGTACTTGCTCTGCGTTGAGTGGCTCTAACGCCAAATTTTCAAAAAAATAATACCAAGAAACATGACTAAAGCCGTTCGAAAAGCCACTGCTGGCAAATGGAGTATTTTTTACTATAAAGATTTAGGTTTGTTACATACTAAATTTGCTATAACTCAATACATTGCTATAATTCAATTCGGAGTCTGGTACAGATTTAGGCATTACATTTAAGTAACCCTTGGGACAATAATTTTCAACAATTTACATTGTGTGAAATAAAAATTATTGTCCCAAGCTATGCTGTCAATAGGCTTCAGCCTTTCTTTCATTATTATCACATTCTTGTTATTGTATCATGTTTTCATATATTGAAAAGAATGAACTGTTATTGTGATTAAATATTACTTGATTAAATATAAATTATTACTAGTTGTCCTGACCACGTGACGCGTTGTTGTGGCTCAGTTTATACTTAACTATTCATCATACAATAAATTTATTGTAACTATATTCGGCATAACCTTAATAATTAAATAAAAAAAAATAGTGACAGACATAATATAAACACTAGAAGTGAGGACAAACTAACTACGCTATTGTTTCGTCTACAAAAAGTTAATAGGTCGTTCATGGGGCAAAGTGTGCGCATGTATAATAAAATCCCACAGTCGGTATTAAGTCTGCCACTTGATAAATTTAAACATAAAATTAAAATCAACTTATGGATAAAGCATGGTACAATAACCATTGCGGAATATCTCGACAACGCCAATGTGTGGAGTTAATACTGTTCATACTCACGTAGGCTAAAATAAGACTATTATACTGTACTGTATGTTAAATTGTAAACTGATGTTTTTGAATAAGAGCAATTATTGAGTTTCTTGCCGGTCTCTTCTAAACAGAAACCGCTTTCCAAACCGGTGGTACCTTACGTACTTATATATTATTTTTTATGTAAAATTCGACGTTTCATAAGAACGCGCAAGCTTCCATTCAAATAAAGATATTTTCAAATTAAATTCATTACAGCCACATTAATATCTTTTATAATTTTGGAGATTTGTAATCTTTTCTTTAAACATTGCTCTTACTTTAGGATAAAATTACCCGATGTTGTACAGACGTTTTACAAACATAATCTCACGTGCACAAACACCCAGATGCGAAACAACCGTCTGTGGGTCACACAAATAGTTGTTCCGTGTGGGAATCGAATCCACGACCCCCGACGCCAAAGCCAAAACCTTGGCTTAACTACTCCACGGTGTAATTAAGAAAAAAACTTATGTACAATCGTGTATAGTTTATTCGAGTACATGAATTATTTACAAAATAATAAATTGATATACATATTATATATTACGTTACACATTAAATATTACAAATTAATTTTAAGAATGATGTACGAAACGTTTATTTATAATTTTTTACAATGTTTTTATAAAGAAATATGAAGCAAGGTTATATCGTATGTGAACAATGAACACAATACACGTGCAACAAATTGTAGCATCTAGGAAAGGTTAGGAGTCAAAGTACGAAGCCATCTAATTGATGCCTATTTAACTGAGCTAACATTGACATTGCAGTCAGTACACCAACTTACAAGGCCAGGTGAATCTTTTATGCTTTCCCTAAAACCTTCCACCGTATATAGGGTTCTCCGTTTTCCATACAATGACACTTCCACCCGTTCTTATGAGATTTTTCGGAACGGGGATAAGCCCAGTAAGATAAGTTCAGTGGCTAAAGCTTGGGCGCGTATCCCGGAGGACGTTGGTTCAAATCTTCGCAGCGGCAAAAAACTTTATGTTCATTTTTCTAAAAAAAAATTAAAATGTCTTGTTGTCCTTCTCAAGTTTATGGGTTTAATACGAGGGTTAGACTTTAAAACCATTGGAATGAAAGTACAATTGATAATTATATTGATAAATATGTACATAATGAAGTTTTTTTTAATAAATGTTTTACTTTATTGAACAAAATGAACAAAGAAATATTTAGATCCACTTTTCACACTTCTGTCGTTTAGTGTCTGAGCACGGGAATCTTCAATCAACAATAATAATTGGTATTACAACAATATTACTAATAAAAAAAAAAACGCTGGACTCGGCCACGCTTCGCTATTTTTCGTCTCCATTGGAACTTTGGAATAAAAAGTATATAGAAACACTTTTATGTTGTAAACAAATATCAAGTCAATACGTCAGCTAGTTTTAGTGTTTTGTGAACATAAACATACGGAAGCTAAATTTATTATATTTTTATAAAATTAGAATACCTAACTGCCATTACTTACCCATTACTTTATATTAATATCCACCGATCACTTAGAATCAGCCAAGGCTTTTCTGTAACGCGGTATCGCTGGTAGCACTTTCAATGATTCATCCGTGCTTTGGGTTGGTTGTGGTAGAGTTTTCACCGTAGCGGTGGTGCGGGGAGCGCCGAGTTGGCCGAGGCGGCGTATGGGAGGGTAGTAGAGCTGCGTCAGGACGCTTTGCTCGACCTGGCTGCAGGCCACCGTGAGCACGCACAGGATCATCAGGGCCTTCGGCTTGAGCTGCATGCTGGTTGAGCGGGGTGAATGAAGGGTGCGAACGGTGCCACTGCACGAGTCTTGAAGTGGACTGCCTGCTCGAGTAGCCTCTGGGATTTACTTATCGTCACACCTAGGAAGTCTTACACGCTTAGGAGCGTGTCGAGAATTGATTTAATTCACACGCGAACGCGCTTTCCTACTCGCAAATTGAAGGCCTCAATGTAAATATTTTGCTTCACTGCGCACAGCGCACACACAAAACCATGATTGTGTTATCTTGCTCATTTCTATAAATCATTATTCAATCTCCTCGATTATTTATAGATTATATTAGTTAACATATTTATTTAATGAATCTTCTTGTTTTCCTTATATTTTATTTCGTTATAGAGATCCCTCAACAATAATTTAATATCTAAAAGATCTTAAAAACCTCTAGCGTTTAAAACTTACACAGATCAATTGTGTTTACATTTATTTGCTTATACGATGAGCAGGGAAAGAACCTAGTTCTGTGTAATATGTTTACAGTATTATTACTGTGATAAATCAAATTAAGTACCTACATATAAACATGTTTAAAGTAATAATGTAAACGTAAAGCATAATGTGCATATAAAACTGGGAAACTAGTGAAGTATAATCGCCAAGGGTCGTGGGTTTGATTCCACACGGGACGAACTATTTATATTGATTCCGGATCTGTAGTAAAAACATAACCAAAACCGCTTTCAACATTATTCACATGTTGTGCCGAACCCACCTGGGTGGCATAAGAGCAGAAGCATGATGATGACGTGACGTATAATCGAATAATGGTGAGTGTAGACTAGAGCATTAACTTGTAACAGAACATTGAGCCGCTGTGTTATAATATGTTCTAGTGCCCTTGCACGCTCGCTGTCCTCAACCGACTTCGAAAGATGAGGAGGTTCTCAATTCGACTGTATTTTTTTCTTTGTTACCTCAGAACTTTCTCATGACTGGGTGAAGCGATTTTGATGATTCTTTTTTTATTTGAAAGCTGGTGCTTCCCATATAGTTCCATATTAATTCCATCATAGTTATACTGATGGGCATTGGCAATCTCGGGGTCTGGAGATACATAGGGAGCTCCTGTAAATCAATTATAAAATGAATACAGAGCGAGATATTTGAAGTGTGTTGGTTTCGTTAATAAAAATAGACTTGTGCTACAACAATTGTACCAACCAAGGACCGCACTGGTAAAACTTTCCATCGAGCCTACTAAGAACGACGCACGCGATCGCTTGTTCAAGTTCACAAAGTGACATTGCATGTTATTCATATTTTTATCTGTTTTCTATTCAACTATTAATTGTTTATTGCTTATTGAAAAATTGGCATTGGTAGAACAGATCTTCGAGCATTCGCAGGAACGTTACAATACATGGAAATGCTTTGGAAACTGAGCTTTTACCGGTACTGTAACATTCATAAGAACGTTAAATTACATAGAAATCCTCGAAAAATGCTCTAGTCTATACTCACCTTTTAAGAAGCGACGAAAATTTAACTTTATGCAATTACAATTTACTGATTATAACAAAAGTATGTTATAAAATATTCTATGCTTGGATTGTTTACTTGTTTTAACTAAAACATGACATTAATGAAATGAATTGCTATTTTTATGTTAGATACCTACATATTATTATTTATATACCGACAGAAGTGAGGTGGAGTCATGTTCCATTCATCTTTATCCAGCCTTAAACACGCAAAGGAATGTCATTAGTTTAATATCTGTACATTGATTTTGATGAATATGGCAATTACTTTCTTTAATAGTTTAAGAAAATATATTTGAAAATGTGGACCCATCCATAGTATGGCAATATAAATATAGGGTACAAACCTAATGTAGGTTACCCTAAGAGGATAACTTTTTTAAAGTAATGTTTTTCTCCATAAACATCCATATTTATTTTATTATTAATCTTATTATCTTCATTTAAATTTAGTGTGCATAGTTTATTACTTTTTCATGTTTATTTAATTTAAGTTTGTTTGTATAAATTGATAAATTTAACTCATAAATTTATCACGGGTAGTAACGACTCCGTGGCGCAACGGTAGCGCGTCTGACTCCAGATCAGAAGGTTGCGTGTTCAAATCACGTCGGGGTCAAAGTAATTTTTGGCATTTTAATTGTATTTTTATTCCGTTTTTTTTTTCTGAACAGTTATGAAAGGAAAAATGATAAAGGTTATTTGTAAAAAAAAATATTTTTAAAATGAAGTGAATAATTAAAAAACGAAACCTTTAAAATATATAAAAAGTTGGAGATGCCGGGGATCGAACCCGGGGCCTTTCACATGCAAAGCGAACGCTCTACCACTGAGCTACATCCCCACACTTTAATTTGTTGTAAGTTTGAGTTTAATCAACAATCTACACTTATTCAGCAGAACTTAATTCATGCGTGTTGATTTCTTGGATTCACGAGAATTATTTACCTTTACATTGTGAAATGAAACTATTATGATTTTATCTCGTTTAATTAGATTTTTAAATTCCGTCTGTCCCGTGACTATGAACGCTGGCAAGTTTTAACAAAAGGTATCGTGTTTATTAATATAATAAAAAGGTTATTTTTAAATCAAAATAAGAAGTCGCTGTGAATAGCAATTGAATTTTTTATTTATCAATTTATAATAAAAACAAGTTTTCCTGACCTTGATCCGAAAAAACGAAAGCCTTTAGTCGTCGTGGTCACCGCTTATTTAAAACTTAATACTAAAGCTTGAAATACATTTAAACATCACCGAGATAAATTGTGCTAGCATATAAAGAGTAGGTATAACGAATTACATCCCAAGAGTCTAGGAATCTGTTGTGCGCCTTGAAAATATTTGTAAATAAAACATTTAAATGGTAATTTTACGTTCATGTTACATTTATATTATAATTATACATTACGAAGCACCGTTTCCCTATAAATGGACAAAAACACTATAAATGCGCATCGTAAGCTTAATGAAATCTTATTAATTCAGGAGGTGCGGTGCCTTTTGCCCGGTATAACATGATTGTAGAATGTGAGAAGCGGGTCAAGGGGCCGCCTCCATGATGATCTCCGCCATGAGCTGCTCCATGGTGGGCGCGATGTTCCGCCGCTGGCAGCTCAGCTTGAAGCACTCGGCGACGCGCAAAATCCGCCAGCAGTTGTCCGCTTCTGTGTCGTGTTGCTTCTCACACTCGTGGATCATTTCCACCATCTGTTTGGAGAGGAGTTCGCCTGCGGATGTTGCCCTCTGTTAATTCAACTCGGCTCTTACAGTTTCTATTAACATCATTGTAAACGTTTACTTTTAGCGCTGAATAATCAATGTCCTTATTCTTACTAAACAGAGATAGATAGAAACCGAGTATATTATTCGAGTTTGCGGTACAAGTATAATTTTTCATATTCAACATTATAGAACTAAGTAAATAGGTTGCGTAGCGAGGGTTTACTTGTTAACAAACATGATGTGAATTGTCGAGTGAGATAGTTAATTACCATTGGGGAAGGACTTGATGAACCTGTCTGTGTTCTCGTGGTGCATGCGGTGCGAGTCGGTGAGCAGGTTGAAGTAGCGGCTCATGCAGTGGATGGCGCAGCCAACCTCGCGCTCCTCGAATCTGAAGTCCTCGCGCCAGAAGTGGAAGAACTCCTCCATCTTGTCCTCGCTCAACTGGCTCTGGACATGAACTCGGGTTGCGATTGCCATTCGATGAAGGAGAATAATAGCAAAAATTAAAGCTCAAAACAGAATGTCCTAAAATACTTTACTACTATCAAAATATACTTAGAATAAACCACGATGAAGACCACTTATGACTAAACAGTGAAATTAACTTTATCGGGTGACTACACTTCTGCACTAATATAATCGTTTAAAGTGAAAAAGTTCAACACAAAAACTCTTTTCGAGACTCACTTCTTCCCTGCAATGCTGCAGTGCCTCGCCGAAGCCAAGGGTCACATCCTTCATGATATCTGAGGTACCCTGAGAGTCTGGCACCAAATTAGTCGCGATTGCAACCCACACCACCGTCACCCACGCCATGGTGTCCATTGTTCACGAGCGCCATACTATTGGCCCTTTATAGCGCGCACAGCTCCTGCCCAATCCCAAATGAACGGTTGCGGGGCGCTAATGCCAGCCGTTGCCATCGCCGTGCCCCAAGGTCAGCTCGCTTGTGTCGTGTTTTTAACAACGCTGTTATTTGCATGTTACCTACTTAATTGTTTGTTTGAACAACGCACGGTGTCATTACTAACTGGACACGTAGCAATTTCGCTAACCAAGTATACAATGGCGTTTCAATACTTTGTTGAACTGTTACGAGTACATAAGATAGTATGCGCACATATAATCTATCTCTTAGATCTGTTTTTAATAAAAAAATATCAGTAACCGAAGGGATGAACCCGCTACGGCAATAACTGTAACTAACTAACCTGTTTTGTTTTCCTTAGTAGGCTTTTAACGACATGCTGAATGAACACAAATATTGTCTTAATTGGTTGAGAATCTGTCACCATTATCGTCACAAGACGGTGAATTTGGGTTGCACTCAGGAGCTATCGCATTTGGCCAGATCTGCTTTGCCGGGCTAATTCGGTTGCTTTATTTATTAAACAACATACATTGGGATTATAAAATGATGACTTAATGCATTAAATTGGCATTCTCTACCAGTCAAACCGGGACGTGAAGAGAAAGCAAAGCATATTCTGCGTAGATCGAAACAAAAATTAATAATTTAATAACTGAAAGTAGACAGGACTAACAATGAGTGTCCTTCAAGACGTCCAACGCCTCAGTCTGTCCCTTGACCATAAATGCCGTAAAGGGTTCGAAACGTTGGAAAATAAATACTAAAATAAACTGTAAACATAGTTTCGTTTAGTAATGTGTAATCGCGTAAATACAAGAAAATAATTTGAACCCTACTTTCGTCATAGCAAACCATAGGCTTAGGTTAGATTGCAAGGATGTTTTCTTTTTCTCACCCCGAAGGAGAGAAATTAAAAATTGAATTGAGTGAAAATTAGGAGGAAGCTATAAACGCTTGTTTGAGTTCAAACCTTAGGGTAAGACAAAGAAACCGAGATATAATGACGGTTACTATCCTCAGGAGAAACACAAGGGACTTAGAAAGCTACTGGAAATAGAATAAGGAAAGTTGCACCTGAAAGTTTTTACGTTCTTTATAAAATTATTTTGTTTAGAAATATTTCTTTTCGTGTTAGAGCGCCTTTGCTTTTCATTAGCGCAATCTGGCTATACTAAAATTTGCTGACATACAATTTGTAAAAATCTTCTATAATGTTAATAATAATGTTATAAAGTTAAAAGCTCATATTTCACATTGTTTTTGCACTCATTTTATTTTGTTATATCACAACAATAATTAAATAATAAATAATTTGTTTAAAATCAAATTGCGAACTCATTGTTTGGGTTAATTACATTTTACTCTCCTGGTCCCTTACCCGAATATCAGTGATCATGTAACGGGCTACTAATTCAGAGGTTCAAGCTTATTTTAATATCTAAATAAGTAAGCCGCAAAAATAACGGGTACATAGAAAAATCACAGTATTTCCTAAATTTGTTTAAACACGTCTTGATTGACAATTTGATACTTTTGAAAGTTTCGTTTTAAATTGTTATTGTAGATCCAGATTTTGTATATCTACACATACTACTGTGAGATGTAGAGTATAATAGACAATCAGGAGAACCGTATAAACAAGAGTATTTTGAAGAAAACGTACCATTTGGTGGCAGATCAATAATGTTGTGGCCTAGAATATCTTCAGAGTCGTACTTAGTAATTGGTTATAGGAAAAGGATCTCTAGGCTCTTTTATAGGTAGAGAAGATAATAAATGAGCATGCCGGTCCTATTCTATTGGACTTCTTGCAGCCGAGACTTAATTCCCATAGAATATATATGGCTCGAGCTTGAAAGATGTGTTAGACAATGCTTTCTACGTATCTTACACATAACGCATCGTCTTAATGAAGTTATACAGGCTCTAGAGAAAATTTTCTATACAAATAAAATGATAGAGCTGTGCCTGCTTCTACTGAAAAGATTTCAATTAATTTATCTAAGTTTTATTTCTTAGTCCCTTGACATATTAAAAAAGTTGTTGATATCTGCTGACGCGCTAAGCGCATTACAAAATTATAGAAGAAAAATAAAGAGTATACAATATTATAATAAAAGGGGATTCGCTTAGAAATATCTTTTGGCATTTGAAGGGAGAAAAGGAATGGGATATACTCATATTTTAATTGATTGCACTATGACCGTTAGACAATTAACATTATATATCAACATTGCTTTGTGCGTTATTTATTATAAAATGTTTAATGTATTTTATATATATCCATATTTACATTATCAAATCTAAGTAAATTACATATCTTACAAACCTAGTCCAATATATTTGCAAAATAATTAATTCTGTAAGCGTTCAGTAATGTGGTGCAAAGTAAATTTTAAAGATTCAATTGTTGCTCCCAATGGCAGCTATACGGTATCCAGGGGAGTAAGTTGCTGTTCTATCAAATGATCGGCGAATTTAAACTTGTGAAGCCACGACTGTAATTTCTTTAATTGCATTTTCTCCAAGGTGGTAAATCAAGTACACGCCCCGTACACGTAAGGTTGCAGTGCACTCCGCCTTAAGATAATTACGTAGATTACATATGGGCGAGGAGAAACTACTCCTCAGAGCCGAGACGGGGTGGCTCTGGTACCCGTGACGTCCGGCCTCTAATATATTATTTTTAAGTCGGTATTATTACAAATCTTTAATAGGAATTGGGATTAAATATTCACATATAATTTTTTTTTTAATTTCCAATAAAAAATTATCCCATTTCATTAAAATGAGAACTAGTATATTAATTAGAAACAGTGTTAATTCTATTAAAGATAGATACGAAAGATTAAAATTTGTTTCTATGCTAAAAACCTCATTACTTGTCATACACTTTAAGATTTCAAATAACTTTCTGCTATCTGGTAAATAAGTCTTATACAAGGAATCACTGGATTATGACATAATCATGTACTTCACTTTTACTATATTTTCCCACCCACGGTACAAAAGGTTTACCGTGTATTAGCGTGATGGAAATATATTTATTGAAATAACTGAAGGTATTGAGAATTTATAATATAATTGTGCGACATACAGATACAGATCTGGGAGTTTATTCCCAAAGAGGATTGACCTGAGGCAGGCGCGCCGCTCTTAAAAAAACTTGTCAATACGGATAAGGGCAAAAGGGGAGAAAGAAGAAGAAGCGTAATATGTCCCCCTAACAACTGTAAGGTAAAGATTTTTTCCGTACATTGGGCATTAGGGCCCTTTTTTTTGGTATCGGGGGGGAAATCTTCGAAAGATACCCTGTCACTTTACATGACAGGTTATGTGGGGTCCTTACTCACTAAAACCCCCTCGGTGGACGCCTTCCGTACATGTGGAGGGACTCCGGGATCTCCCATGGAACGCACCGGTGTCCCTCGGTACTACGCCTGACCACGCACGTAACAAAAATATTTTCTCCAATGGGATCCAAATGATTTGTCTTTTTGAAGTCTTGAACAGATTTGTTTACTATTACGCGGCAAATTAAGGAGTGGATTATCTTTTGAGTCTGAATATAGTTGGCTCCTCGGCCGACCAGCTAATCGCACCCTCGAGTGGTAAAAGGAACCACTGGAGCGGGCCCCGCCCCCGTCGACCATACTCGAGCCTTCTTTTCAACCTCACTTAAATAATCCCAATTGTGTACCACTGAATTTCTCACTTTCATCTTTCTTTGAATAAGCAAAGCAACCTTTGTTATGGATTGTTTTATAGTTGAGTTTGAATTTTTTACCTGAATTCACGTAATATTCGTTTCAAATGAGAATTTGTGCGGCGATGACTTCGCCCTGTCAAAGATCTCTAGAGAAGTACAAGTAAATTAAAAAAATACCTCTAAAATTAATATCAGCAACGATAGTTAATAGAAGACGATGCTAAATTTAGTTTCGTTATAAACACGGGTAATACAATTAACATTTTTCTTTTAAATTTTATTCGATGTAATATTTTAATTACCTAAACATTCGTTTTTTAGTGGGAAAGCTGCAGTGAGGATGATGTCGGCGACGAAGATAATGTCTGCTCAAACAGTGGGATGAGTGAAATTTGTGAACTGGGAGATTCAGATTAAAAATGGATGATATTTTAAAAATATCCGGTCTAGTGACCCTACCTATTTTTTTCGATTTGAAGCTATGACATCACAATATGGCGCGGTTCCATGCACATTCTTATTTGAAACGCATTGTTCAGCTTTAGTGGCAGGTCAATAATGCCCTCCGCGTATATACCTATATAACTATTTACGGCGAGTGAACTGGACGCGCGCCATTCTGCGGACTCATTAATGGGCTCGTTTATTTGTGGCTCCGAAGCGCCTCAACATCGGCCTAATCGTCTCGGCTAAATGGCGGGTGCGTTACCTCCGCCTCGGCGTTGTGCGCGCCATGCCGGACGCGCCGGCTACCCGACCGACTTTAAAAGCCGGGGCATGCCACCACTGATTCTAGCGATTTCGGACTTTTTACTTTCATCGTGTTGGATAGCAAATTGAGGCACTATTCACAAAGACTTTAGGTCTCATCACTTAAATTAACTTGTGTAATCGGTGTACGGTAGTAGGTTTAATAGTTTCTGCTTTGCACGAGTGGGCAGGCTCGTCCGGGGAAGTGCCACCGCTTCAGAGACCGGCGTGAAGTGTGTAAATTACACTTTCGCGTTTCGTCTGGTGAGTGAGGTAATCGGAGCTCATCTTTAAAGGTTGTCCTCGATAGATGTCCATGAGAGGCGGTATTCACTTAACAACAGGTGAACCGCCTGCTTGCTGGACAATTTTTCATATAAAAGAAGTATTGTTAGGAATCAAGTTTCTGGCTTTAAAAAGAGAAGAGTTTACTTAAACATTTGTTTACAGTTTAATCAACACGAGTTAATTAAATATTTGCTCGCTCTTAATAAA